CTAGCTTGCCTTAGAAGAAAAAAAAGGGAGTTAGAAGCAAAGTATAAATTCTAGAGAGCTATTTTATAAGAGTGAACGGAAAAGAGAAAGAGAAAGAAGCTTGGACCGGTGTAGGCAATTTTACCCGACTACGCGCAGACCGGCGGATTTATTTTAAATCCAAAAAGGCAAGTTATTATCTACTTTTCCCCTTTGAATTAATAAATTAATTGTTTAGCTTATTTTTATGCATAGAGCCAAGGTTAGGAGGTTAATAAATTATTAATTTTATTTTATTAAATTAATGGAATTTTAATTATATAGGATGGTATATATTTATTTAATGTCCTATGAAATTAATAATGGCTAAAAATAATTAAATAAGACTTTAGGGATTTTTCTAGAATTTTCTAGATTTTTCCGGGTATTTTCTGCAATTTCCGGCGACCTTCCGGCGAGTTTTCCGGTCGCCGGCAGTGGGGGAGACGACCGGTGCGACGCGGCGCACCATAGGAGGGTGTACGCGCGCATCCTGGCCATTAATGGAGTCTGATTGATCCGGTGCATCGCGGTTCATGATACCGCGGTACACCCGGATCAGGGAACGTTGGATGGAGGAGATGCAGGTGGATTGATCCGGTGTGGCGCGCATGCAGGAAAGCTGATGCAGCCAACCAACCGGAGGACGCCGCGTCAGCAAGGCACCCTTAGTGCGCGCGTGGCAGCGCGTGCGCGCGCGTGGGACTCTCCAGACGCGCGTGGGAGCGTGTGCGGGCGCGTGGCTGATGCCAGACGCGCGTGGAGGCGCGTGGGAGAGTGGGGAAAGCTTGGCTGCGCGTGGGGAGGCTCTGGGAGGCGCGTGAGGGCGCGTGTGGGGTCCCTACAGCTGCTGGAAATTACCAGAATACCCCTAGGGCCTGTTTTGTAAATTCCAGAACCTTAAACTTGGATTTTTAGGTACTGTGTTGGTAATTACGGGTTTAACGGGCCACGAAATTATTATTTTAACACCCGTTACTTATTCTTATGGCCGATTAATCTTTTCTAAGCATTTATTGGCTCGTTCGCAGTACGGATACTAATGTGATTTATTTAACGACATTGTTAAATATAAATAGTGTTATTATCGTATTTAATTGTATCAAACATTACTGTTAAATTAAATAAGGCCATGGTTTTAGTCAGATAAATTATCCATGATATCTTATAGGATGTTTATACTGTTAATTGATAAACCATGATTATTATGCTGTGTGCATTTCAGGAAATAAATGGACTGTTTAATTATGTCGCATTTATATTATATGGATGTGTTGCCATATAGAACCATATGAGCTGGCTAATAAGTTTAGACTCATTTATACCTTATGCATTCGTTGCGATAGACAGATGTGTGGCTGTCGGGGTATGTGGTTTAATATTATTGGCATGTGTTGCCTAATTGACATACTCGGTATATTTATTAATATTATTGGCATGTGTTGCCTAATTGACATACTCGGTATATTTCTTAATATTGTTGGCATGTGTTGCCTAATTTATATGCTCAGTATATTCATCAGTACTTTGCGAGGTGTTATCACTGTGTAGTTCGTTATAGTCTGTGTTGTCAGTACCGTGCACCATGTATAATAGCTGATTTCCCGGGTAGGGAAAGGCGACACTTAACCACCTAGTGTGAGTCTAAGTGATCACCGTCTATTCTGGTTGAGGTCATGTTATACATCGGATAGTTCCCATAGGATGTATACAGATATAGTACTCATCCGATTCATAATGATTAATTTATTTGATTCTCTGATTTGGGTCATAGTAGAGAGGACTTGCTCATGGGGTTGACCCACCATTGTTGTTATTTCAGGATACGGTCAGTATCCGTTTCAAGGCTGAGGTTAGCAGTGTGGGACCATCATCCGAACTCATCTACTCTTACGATCCAGTGCAGGGTAGAAGTTTTATGTAATACTTCAGTTTCAGTTTTTAATTACTTTTGACGTTGAACTCTCAGGGTTATATTTAGGGATCCCTGACGTAGGATTTCCAAGTTGTAATGAAGTACTGTATGAAATAAAGGATGGATGGATGTTGTATTATTTAATGTTTCTTTCCTGTCTAAATTCTTTTAAATCCATCATTTTGTATTCCATGCTTGTATATTGCCAATTGTTTTTGATATCCCTCGTTTTTCGTGTATAAGCCTGATCAACTTATGCGTGGAAAATGTGGGGGTGTTACATATCTTCCATTATTAACTATCGGTTAATTAAATCATATATCATATATATATCCATAAATATATATCTATATATATATATATATATATATATATCCATCTATAACACTAATTAATTAATTATATTTATATATAATTAAATATATAGTTATAATTATACAAAAATGATTATTTAAACAACCACAAAACCATGGGTTTTATTTAATTAACCCAATAAAGTTTCATTCAAGCCCAAGACCATATCCTTTGGTCCAATTTCCCTTAAGCCCAGTCTAATTAATTTAAATAAATAAAATAATTAAATAAACACTTAAATTAAAATAACTAATCACATGAAGCATATAAATAAATAAGAATGTACAACTAAGCCACATCATACCAACAAAATCAACACACCAACAATTCAATCAATTATCATACATAATCATGAAATATAACTTAATTAAAATAAGACAATTAATCTAGCACTCAATTATATAAAACAAATCATTTAAAAATAACAATAAAAGCAATTAAATCCAAATAAATCATTTAAAAATAAAATAAAAGTAATTAATTTCATATAATAAATCTTTTAAAATATCGGGGTATTACATCATTTTTCCCATTCAAAGGAATATATATATATATATATACCTCTCTCTTTATATAAATGAATATACAATGGAATCGATTTTTCTCTTTGTTTTGATTTGTCTCTTTGTTTTTTTATATCTTCCTTGTGCTGCTTTGTGTTTCCCTTTTCTTTATGTTTATTTAAGGTATATTAGACTAGGTGTCTTCTTAGTGTGCTTATAGTTTTGTGAATTGGTTATCAGTGAGTTTGATTCATGGAATTGCATGCTTTGGTGTTATTTTCAAATGAGTTGTGTTTTTTCTTAATTAAACAACAAAAAAAGCTTACTAATCATTTTATTTAATTTATTCTTCTTTTAAGTTCCTTTAATTGCTTTGGAAGTCTGTTTTAGTGCGTCTTGTTTTAGGGTATCTACAACAACACCTTTTATTTGGTTGTATTCTAACACTTAGTCTTAAGGATTCTTAAAATGACAATAATTTTTTTGCATCAATTGTTTAGTTTTGGTAAAACTTTCAATTGTTTAGAATTGTATAGTTTAATTTTATTGGAATGTAAGAGTTGAATTATTGTTGTTTTCTTTGATTTAATATTTAGTTTATATTATTATTTTTTATAATAGGAATGGAGCCAAATGGGAAGAAAGAAGGCAAGAATGTGGTATGGTCCAAAGAGATGGATAATTGTCTTATTATGGAACTTGTGCATCAAGCTAATGAGGGCTATAAAGTAGATAAGGGTTTCAAAGAACATGCTTATACCGCAACTTGTTCAGTTTTAAATTCAAATTTTTAGCTTTCACTGCATCGAGAACATTGTGTTAATCGCTTGAAAACTATCAAGAAAAAATATAGACTTATTCAGGATGTGTTGAGCAAAAGTGGATTTTCTTGGAATCCGGTTATGAAAATGGTAGAATGCAGCGATCAAGTATGGACTTCATTTGTTGCGGTATGTACTTATTTTCAAATAATATTTTATATGATAATTTTTAAATTAATCTAAGATTACTTATCTTTATTCATATTCTTTACTCTATTATTTCAATTTTACTTTTCTTTTACATACTTCCTTTTTTTTTATCATTACAGTGGACTTTTTAATGATGGTTACAAGTTTTTTTAATTCATCATTTATATTCCCTTTTATTTATTTATTAATATTTGATTCTTTCAAATGTTGACTAGGTGAATCCTGATGCAAAGGGTTTAAAAGGTAAAAAAAATTGACTTGATTGATGAATTGACTATAGTTTGTAGCACTGATCATGCAACCGGAGAATGGGCTAGTTTTGCGAAGGATATAAATGTTAACATGTCAAAACAAATGAATGATAGCGAAAAGGACTATACACCTTTAGCGGATCCTGGTGGCAACATGATTGGGGATGACTTAGGTGACTCTGAAGGTAATTGTTTTGCTAATCCATCGGGTAATGTTGGTAGCCAAACAACTAATGTTGGTAGCCAAACAACTGGGGACAAGCGTAACCAAGGATGTTCTTCATTTCCATCTAAACGTCGTGTGAAGAAACCACGAACCGCAGAAAGTGTTGCTGAAACAATGACTACTATTGCAAATAACATGGCAAGATTAGCTGATGCATATGAGAAAAGCAAGCCATGTATCAATTATTCAGAACTTTACAAAGCTCTGATGGCTGTTGAAGAGCTTGATATCCTTAGCTGTATGAATGCATTTGAGTTCTTGAATGCTGACCCTATCAAAGCAAGAGCCTTTTTGATTTATCTTTCTGAGATGCGTTACTTGTTTTTACTTCGACAACTCTCCCCAAGTAGTTATTCTACTATTTCAATTTTGATGGAAAAACTTTGTTGCATGAATGTTTTATTGAAAGACCATATTGAAATTTTGATTTGGTATATTAATGCAAGTCAATTCCATATGATATGCATATATATATATATATATAGTGAAATATTTGGTTTTTCTCTCGAAGGCTAATTTTGGTATGTATAATCATTTTCTTTTCACTTTCATACTATCAAAACCAACAAATTAATATTTTTCTATGATTTTCTTAGATAAATTTTTATGCTAACAAAATACATGCTAAAAAATCACTTTTCTTTCACTTTCTATTTATTTTTATTTTTTTTCTACTTTATTTTCATCTAACTCCTAAAGTTAAAAAGTTAAAACTGTCATGGTAGATTCCGCGGGTATAAATTTACATTCCCTTTTACTTTCTCACAACTTATGAATTACTCGTACAAGTCACAAGTCAGTCACAACCCTCAAAACCACCCCTCTCTCTCTCTCTGATGGAAGACGACGACGAATTCGGAGATCTCTACACTGACGTCCTCCGACCTCTCACATCGTCCTCTGCTTCTCAGCCACCTCCGATACAATCCACGCCACCGAATCTCAGCCATCCGATCGATCTCAAAATCCAGAGCGATCATGAAGAGATTACGCACGGAACTCCCGATTTTAATTTTACTTTAAATTTCTCCAGCTCAAACCAAAACTATGCCCTAGTTTCCGATTCCGATAAGACTGCTCCAAAGTTGATTCTTGCCGGAAGTTTAGATTCCCATCGGAATTTGAATGTCGATGACGAGTTGGAAAATCAAGAAGTAGACAAACGGGAGGATTTAGCTGGGGTTGGGAATAATTGGGCATCGGATTCGATTGGGCCGAATGAGTCTAGGGTTTTGGAGAGTGTTGGTGATGTGAAACTACAGAAAAGGGCTTTTGACGATCCAAATTATGCGGATGAGTCTGGTATTGATGTTGTTGTGGACGAGGGAGATGATAAAGATGATTTTTTGGTGGAAAAAGATGAGATTTTGGCGGGTAAAAGTGAGAATTTTGACGTAAAAGAGGTTGATACTGGGATTGGAGATTTGGGTTCAGAGCAGATAATCCCGGGGTTATCGATTCCTGGGGTTTCAGATGCGGTGGATAATTTTAGGACCCGGGATGATGCTACCGGCGAGGGGGATGGTTGGGACAGTGATAGTGAAGATGATTTGCAAATTGTACTGAACGATAATAATAATGGGCCGAGAGCAATGGACAGAACTGGCGTGATGGGAACTGATGATGACGACGAGGATGAAGACGGAGACCCTTTGGTTATAGTTGCTGATAGCGACCCAAATCATCAGCCAATTCACGAGCAGGAATGGGGAGAAGATGCAGCTCAGGGGACAGATGGTGAGAGACAGGAGTTGGGTGATGCTGCCAAAGTGATTGGCGTGGCTGTTGCGCCAAAGATTGGGTACAACAATCATGGGTATCATCCATTTCATTCTCAGTTTAAGGTCAGTGATATTGTACATGTGGGGTTTTGTGTTTTCCCCTTGTTAGATGAGAATTGGAAATGTAAGTTGGATTGTAATTGTTGTACTAAAAACATGGTATTTGTTTCATCAGTGTTGTGGAAACTACTAGTCATAGAGTTGATCAATGTTCTTGTATATGCTATTCCATATGTTATTTGGAAATATATGAATAAAAGGAGTGGTCAACAATGGGATTTACTTCGTATTGATGATGCTTCTCACATAAATGGAATTACTTTATTAGTGCCAATGCAAAAACCTGATGTGATTAATTTATGTAGGTCAGTGATCATCATCGATTCCAATCCACTGTAAAGTCGAAGTTTAGCAATTATTATAAAATCTCATCTCATTTATGGTTGAAATCTCTTTTATCAGCCAGCAGCATCTGATATGCAAAATCAGGCGGCTTGCATCGTTCTAAAACATTGATTTATATTTTCCATGAAGTGCAAAATCTGTTTTCTTCAATTTATTAATTTCAGTTACCCGACGTACTAACACATCTCAGAAATTGTTCCTTCTATCCATTCACATACTGCCTTAGGTAATTCTGAATCAATAAAAGAGTTCCATAAAATGTAGGGTAGCAGGGTGTCTCTGCGCATGACTTTAAATGGTTGAAATTAGCAATCAGCTTCACTAATAATTGCCCTCTCTCTATTCTCTACCGTTACTTCTGTGGCAGTATGAGCTGAAAGAATGTGGTACCATGGATTTCTTTGAGGCATGTAGGAACTTCTTTAGTTGGTTGCTGGCATTCCAACAGTGCGAAACATGATTTAAGAGGATTCTTCCTTGTTTTGCTGCTTCTCTAAGGATAGTAGGAAGAATTTTGTGCCATTTTCTGTTCACTAGTCACCAATCCTGCTTTTTACGGGGCATGTAAACCAATTTAAGAATGCAATAGAATGATGGAATATCTTGTTGAAGACACTCCAATGACAAGGATAAATACCATGACCATGACTAGTTATTTGGCTCGAACAAGCACAAGGAATAGCTGGTTAAATTATTTTTTTTTATCTTTCTTAACTAATTGCATTAATGAAGATTCAGCGTTCTATAAATTTTATTAATCTCATTCCCTATTTTTAATAAATTGCACATTTGGCTCTATAATTTTGTTATTCCTTTTCTTTTTTATATGCATATTTCAAAAGGTCATGATAATACTATGAGATGCTGGTCCTCCTACCCATGTTGATATTTCATTTTTATTTCCTTTTTGTGTCACCTTGGTGACGATGTCTCCTGCGTCATTAAGTCACTGATTATTGCTTTACTCATACTTGCCCATAGTGCTCAAATCTTCTGATTTACACCTGTATGAAACAAGCGTAGGTTGTTCATGGTTGTTTGTGTCTTTTCATTCCCCATCACTAGTAACCTTTCCTCAATAATTGGCATAGGTTTTTACTTAACATAATGAAAAGAGATGTGCATTTATAATTCATCATTTCCCCTGTTGTATAGTTAATATTGCTTTTATCTTTGTGACATATTTCCACAAATATTATAATTTATCTCTTGTTTAAATTTGCAAGAAGTTGAGTAGCCATCCAATCCTTTGGTGTAACTAGAATTGATAAAATGATTTATATTCCATACAATTTTTATAAGTTGATAAAATTATGTTTATAATTTTAACATGGTGTTGATGACTGTTGTTGTCTTGGAATTTTGGATTTTCATGAAATAGAATGTTTGCAGTTCAATCATTTAGACATGATAGATTTTCTTTTTGATACTTGTAAGTGCAAAATTTTGTTGTAAAATGCTTAAATCATTCTTATTGCAGGCTTCTTGCATTTCCTTTGTGCTTTTGTGTTAAGTGTTAACTTTATCAACTTCTTTCTCTCTTTTTCTTTTTTTCTTTTTATTTTATAAAATCATGTAGTATGTGAGACCTGGTGTGGAGCCGATGCCTGGATCAGTTCCTGCCGGTCCTGGAGGAGTCCCAGGTCAAGTTCGTCCACCAATTAACATGGCCCCTATTGCTGGTCGTGGCAGAGGTGATTGGCGACCAACGGGAAGAGGTGCTTCTTCCATGCAGAAAAATTTTCATCCTGGTTTTGGGATGCCTGTTTGGGGCAACAATACATCGGGGCGTGCTTTTGGCAGTGGTCTGGAATTTACACTTCCATCACACAAGTAACCTCTATACTGTATTATGGGTTTTGTGTTCATTTACAGAGTACACTTTGTTATCATGTTAATTTCACTTCTTTTTTTTTTTTTTCGGTAAATAATGTTAATTTCACATGTTATTCAATTGATCATATTACCTTTTTCCTTTTTTTTCTTTTCTTTTATTTTTTTTTAATTTTTAATTTTTTATGTTAATTGATCAAATGTTATGTTAATTTTTATTATTATTTTTTATTTATCTAAATCTATGTTATTATCTCTGAGTATTCACACGCTGATAGGATGAGTTGGTGAGATTATATGTATATTGAATTTACTGAATTGTGGCTGTAATTCATTGATTGTGTAAAAAAAAAGTAATCTTAATATTTTTAAGTAATTTTGCTAGAGATTACAGTGTGTATATGGGAAAATTTGACTCTTTATCTCCTGGCAGGACCTTCATACATGCTTGAGGAGTAACAAGACAACACTGAATAATCTAGTGTGACTGTGTGAGAGTGAATAGTGTTTGTGTGTTGTGGGGGGGTTGGGGGAAGGGACAAGTAACTTTAATAATAATAATAATCTTACCTTATCGGGAAAAAAACTTTTTAGTAATAACGCTTACACAGAGGATCATTATTGGGTCCTTATCTTTTTAATTAGTAATAATAAGCTAACATCAAAACTCAACTCAACAATTCAACAAAGCGTTTCCCAACCACTCGGGTTCGGTTACATGAATCCTATTTTTCCATTCTGCTCTTATATCTTAGGATTCATGTTCACATTGACAAAACTGTTATGTTGGGCTGGCTGTCAAATTGCCTTTGCAGAACCCTCACCCTTTTCTAGGCTTGGAATTGGCTATGCAAAAATAAGGCATTAAACATGACACAGGTGGAGTTAGGCTTACACCGAACTAAGGATAAATTTTACCAGACAACTATGAGGCCAGCTATTTTTTACGGTTTAGAATGTTGGTGTTAAGAAGCATCATGTTAAAAAAGTAAATGGTACAAATTACGAGAAAAAGTAGAATAAGAAACGAATCCATTGTGGGAAATTATAAGCATCAATTTATAACATCAAATTATTCTCATGCTAGCATTTAACACTTGCATATGCTTTTGGTTGGTATTATAAAAGAAAAGAAGCTATCACCTTCTGTTGATCTCGTTAATGTGGGTGTTGGGAGGGGTAGACTAGCTGCAAATAAAAAATTTGCCACCTTGATAAGCAAACCCCTGTTCTCCTGCATTATAGGCAAGCTTTTACAATACTAATTAAGTAAACTTCCATTTTTTTTTCTTTTTTTTCCCTTAAGTAGGTTTTTTCTTAAAAAAAAAGTGTTATTTTCATATCTTTCAGTCCACTTCTTGTTCTCTGTAGCTTGCTGGTTAGATATGGTCTTCTCTACCAACTTCCAATGCTTATTTCATTAATATATTGTCTTGATCAATGTGTGATGGGCTACTTGGTTCCATCTAATCAATTGCAAGTGACCTTTGGCACATTGCATCAAGTTCATGTAGTTCTGGGTATTCTAGAACAGCAAAGCTGCAGAAACGGGCAGTGTTTTTTTTTTTTTCCTAGTTGATACTAACACACCCCCTCCTCAAGGAATTGTTTGCACCCAAGAGGATTCGAACCTCAGACTTGATGCTTCCTGAGGCACCAAGGCCAAGTTCTTACCCACTTGGGCCAACCCCTTGGGGTTAACGGGCAGTGTTTCTGTTTCTGGAATTCTTTGCCTACATTATTTGGGATACTATGAATTTTGTCTTTCTATTGTAGTATTGTAGTTCCATGTGTGAACTGTGACTTAATCAAAATTTGATTTGTTTTTTTCCTCATAATAATTTTTTGATGATCTCTACCATTCTCAGGACTATATTTGATGTCGAGGTTGATAGTTTTGAGGAAAAACCATGGAGGCTCACTGGTATTGAGATATCGGATTTTTTTAACTTCGATTTGAATGAGGAGAGCTGGAAAGATTATTGCAAACTGCTGGTTAGTTGCCTTTTATTGTACTATTTTTAATATAGGTGAATCTTGGAAGTCAATAAGGGGCTGAAATTTGAATTCTGCAGGCACAACTTCGACTTGAGGCAACCATGCAAAGCAAAATTCGTGTTTATGAAAGTGGGAGAAGAGAACAGGTTCTGTGGCTTTTTCACATCTTATTTGTGTGTCGCTTGTATAACACTTTTTTTTTTTTTTTGTTGTTGGTGGTGAGAAAATTGAAGAAAAATGATTTTATGCTTAACTGATCTTATATCAGGAGTATGATCCGGATCTGCCCCCAGAACTAGCTGCAGCAGCAGGTTTTCATGATGTTCCATCTGAAAATGTAAATCTTGGAAGGACAGATGCTGGACAAAGCGACTTAGCAAAAGGATCTGTGCATGTGCGGCCGTCATTAGTATGTGTTAACCGTTGATATTTTAAAATTTTTATTTTTTCTTTGAAGGCTACTGACATAAATTCAGATTTTTCTTGCCAATTTAGCTTTTGATTTCTCTATTTTGCTAGAGATATAAATATTTTTTCCTTTAATGTTGATAACTTACAGATTTAATGTAACTAATAATAAATGCTATTCTTTAGATTTAGATATATAGAGTTTATTTGGTATATCGATTTTTGGGCTTACTGGTTTATTGTTTTTTCTACTAGCCAACAGGGAGAGCAATACAGGTGGAAAGTGGTTTTGGTGAACGTCTCCCATCCATTGATACCCGGCCACCACGAATCCGTGATTCAGATGCAATCATTGAGGTAAGTGGTCAATCCTGTCCTTTAGCAAATTAACCTCTATTTTATTGATCTGATGAATATCTTTAAATTGAATGTGCAATACAAATTCACTGATGTTGTTGTTTGGCAAACAGATAGTCTTGCAGGACTCCACAGATGATAATTCCTTCCCAGATAATGATGTTGTAGATCGACCAGAAAATGATCCCGCAAGAGAAGATGTCAGAGGAGATCATGCAATCGAAGGAGACATTGAATATCTCAATGGTCTTCCACATACTTGTAATGGTAGGAAAGGAGAGCTGGTTGGACAAAGAGCACCATTCATGAATTCTGTTTGTGATAATATAATTGGAACAGTACATTTACATTCAGAAGCACCCAGTCAGTGTCATCCTGATTCTAGGGAGGTAAACCTTGGCAGGAATCTTGGCATCCCTCGTGAGAAGAGGTATGAAAAAATGTTGTATGAAATTCCATGCACTTTAATGATCATAAAGTTTTTAAGTCTGTTTTTAACTGTTTTGGGGACTGGCCTGACAGTTCGTTGTCATTTCCTAATTCCAACCTTGCTATTGCTGGAAGGGAAGACTTCCATGGATGCAGTTAGTTTATTGTTTTAAGAATGATATGCTATGTCATTTTCCATGGGGATGATAATGCCAATACGACCCTATCCTTTCACATGAAACATCTAGAAATTGAAAAGTAGCTTGGGTGGTATTTCCTGCTGCTTCCGAAGAGGAAATTCCAGGATTCAAGTTCTGGTCAAGAAAAACCCGTGTGTATCATGCATGCAAAAAAAATTATGCTGATTTTTTGACTTAAATTTGTGATCTTTGGTTAACAGATATTTTCTTCTTGACGCAATTGGCACATATTCTTTTCCACACTTTTTTACAATTATTATAACTGGTTTTTCGTATCTTGGTTATAGTTTGATCTGTTATTAACTTTTATCAGTTTTAGGTTGAATTAAGTTCCACTTAGTGATTTGAATTATTCTTGACCTAGTGACATTGCATCTGAAGTTCTTTAAAATCTTATACTGTCTCTGTTCTTTACTTAGGTGGTCAAAAGGAAGAGCAAATGATAAATCCCCCAATATGACCCCTAGTGAAGATACACAGGACAAAAGAATGTGTGATAATCAAAAGGAAGGATCAGTTGAAAGCATCGGTGGTAAACACAGTCCTCTTTTATCTCCTATCTCTGATGGGACTGCTATGGAGCCGGATGTTGAACACGGTGATGGTATGCACGAGGAGCTTGTGCTGGCTGACGGAACCTCTACATTGGAAAGAGAGGAAATTGCTTTGATTGAAGCAACTGATGTCCTCAAAGATGAAAATTCAATGCATTCTGTGAAAAAACTAAGTTCTCGAATTGAACAACCTTATCTTCAAGGAATAGATGATGGAGAGGACTTACAGGCTGCAAGAAGTAGTGAAAACAGCAAAGCAAGATCAGGAAGCAGCAGGGATTATCAAAAGTTACGTGATGGTGTTGAGGAGGAAGAAGTTCAAGATGAACATTCTACACGCATGTTGAACATCAAGAGACCCCATGGTGAAGATGAGCAACGTGTCCGAAGAAAGGGCCGTGATGAGAGGCGCAAATTTGAAAGACACCGCATGGTAGTAGAAGTAAGGGATGATTCTTATTCTCGTAGAGACCGGGATCCGATCTCAGCCCACAAGTTGCATGCAAAACGAAAGGAGAGGGATAATTCTGATGGAGCCTGGCAATGGAGAGATGATGATTCGTATGGAAAGAGGACTAGAACTGAACACTCGAGGAAGAGGGAGCGTAGTGATGAAACAGGGTCTAGACACCAGGCTAAGGTTCGAGAAAGTGAGAGGGGTGACAGAGATGAACGTCTTCAATTGAGGAAACAGTTGGATAATAGTAGTTGGAGGGGTCATCATGATAAAGATATAGGCTCACGATACAGGGAGAGGGATGATAATTTGAGGAGTCGATGTGAGAAGATGAATGATCTAAATAGCAAAAGAAGGGAAGAAGAAAAATATTTAAGGAGGGACCACGCTGACAAAGAAGAAATCTTGCATGGCCATAGAGAAAATACCACTCACCGAAAGCGAGAAAGGGATGAGGTTTTGGATCAATGGAAGCGAGATGATCATGCCAGAATAATGGATGATGATCATCATTTTAGACACACAGAAGAGGGCTGGTTTCAGAGAGAGAGGAGTGAGAAGCAGAGGGACCGGGATGAATTGCTTATGCCCAAACAATTAAATGAAGTTAGTTCATCAAAGCGAGAAAGAGATGGAGGAGGGGGAGGAATCAGGTGTGGGAGAGCTACAGAAGACAAAGTATTGTTCAGCAGCCATGGTAGAGTGAAGTATGAGAATAAAGGTTCTGATAGAGACTACCAATTTAAAGACACAGGGAAGCAGAGTGAGCAACTTAAGGGAAAGGATCGAGTTGAAAGTGGAAGTTCACAGCATAGGGGTCATCAGAATGCCTATGCACGTGGAATCCAACTCAGTAATGATGAGAGAAAATCAAGGCAGGAAAGGACAAGTACTCGCAACGATCGTGTTTCCACTGCTTCAGATAACCATAGGGCATACCAAAAAGAACAAAAAGATAATCCTAGGAAAAGTAAAGAATCTGAGGGTGGTGATCACAACTCCTTTGGCCGTTCCAAGAGAAAGCTAGAGGATCACAGTGGTCATATAAGTGACACGGTACGTTACATCTCTTAATACAGTAACATAACATTTGAAGGGGAAAACCTACTTGATGAGTTGTATTTCATGATATAACTAATACTTAGAGAGAAAAAAAGGAGGTTTCATTAAATTTGTTATTCAATATGCGGTGCGCTGATTGTAACGAAAATAAACTTGGTCTAGGTCCCTTTACGTAAAAGGCTTGGTTAAAAATGTCCATTTGTAGTTCTTTGATTCTGAAACTCTGGTGGCTGACAGATATTAACTCAAGGCTCATAAATGCATGATTGTCGAGTTCATTTGTTATTTTGGTGTCACTTTACTGCCCTACTTTGTACTACTATACCTCTGTGACAATGATAAATGGCATGTATATTCCATGACCTCATGGATAGCCAGCACCTGGGCAATGTGTTGTTTCATTACTTAGGCTAGCGCAGCAACAATATCAAGTTAATATTTTCCTTCTGTAAGGGAGACCCCATACATTGTAGACAATTATAATTTGCAGATTACAACTGATCTGATCTCCTTTGAATTTGTGATCTTTGAACTTAATCCACCTCCTCAGTGTGGTCTTCTTTGCTTTTGCATGATACCATGTGCCATTGTTTGATTCAAGGTTCGCAAATGGGGTTCTAACCCCAGCCTAACGGAGTTGCATACATACTTGTGAAACAATGTCTTCCTTGAGTTAATGGTTACTTGTGAGGATAGCAGGTCATCCAACCAACTGTTGTTCAAATATTGGGTAAAAAGAATGGTGGGGTAGTCCTTATCTTTGGTAGTCTAGACTCTTTGCAACATTAGTATCAAACCAGATAGTCTGGACAATTGTTGATCATTCAATTCGGATGTGGTTAATATACTTTCTGGTACCAATGAGGTTTTTTGCTCTTTTTTCTTCTTCCACAAACTTTGTTGTTCATACTCTTGACTATGCACTTTCTTGTGGATCTGAGTTGAGAATTTTAAATGGTTGAGCTCTTTTTTCATGATTATTTTGGCATTTGTTTAGCTAATCTTTAAAGGAACTAATGAGCAGGGAAATGACAAGAATGAGATCCCAGTGAACCATCGTTTTTCCAGAAAACATAAAGAAGATGCTTCCTCTGATGAAGAACACCAAGATTCAAGGAGGGGACGGTCGAAACTGGAACGCTGGACGTGCCATAAGGAGAGGGATATCAGTAACAGTGCTACGTCATCACCTTCTTTAAAGGTTGAAGGGACTGACAGGTATAATGATGCTGGGTCTTCCTTGGCCGGGAAGCTTCCAGATAAATCTTCCAAAATGGTTGAATCCATTGATAATCAACATCCTTTCCATGATGAGAAAGATGCTGGTAATTTAGAGATTAGTAATGTCAATGTGAAGGCAACGGAGGACAAAGAATTGGACACGGTTGCAAAGTTGAAGAAGCGAAGTGAACGCTTTAAGCTACCAATGCCAAGTGAGAAGGATGCACTGGCGGTTAAAAAGATGGAGAGTGAACCATTGCCTTCAGTCCAAAGCGACACCCATGCAGATTCAGAGATCAAACAGGAGCGACCCGCTCGGAAACGAAGGTGGGTCAGTAACTAATTATGACGACAAACTGATTCCGAAGGAGTTTCGGCATGGTCCTTGGCCTGATTCTTTATAATATTTTGATAGCCTATTTTTTGCGCAATTTCAAAACACACCCTATATCGACATCTGCAATAGTCATGTGATCTTGTAGCAATGCTGCCACCCATATGTTTTTTTTTTGCAGATTTTGTACAGACCAGCAAATGTAACACTATACTGGCCATTGAGGGTGGCACAGAATTTATTTTTTGCTTCAAGTAACATTAATTCATAATGTATTACTCGTAGAGATTGTATCTTGGGTGCCATGGAGGTCATGTAAGGACCTGGCCGTGCCGCCTATCGGATCTGAACTAAATGAAGGGTGACACTCTAGGAGTTGAGGCACTTTTGATGCTGACTTCTTCAAGTTGCGACAGCGGTTCTGGAAAAAACTATACGCAAGCAATGGGCATCGGAATGGAAACAACCCCTTTGACACTGGAGAAGGCGTCTTGATTGAGGTGACATGAATGGATGATCTGTTTTTTGATTGTATATATTTTGTACCCTGAAAAGTTGGCATGAGTTTTTTTTTCTTCATAAGGCGCAAAGCCAGAAGTGGATTTTGTTGGATGTTCCTTTTGCGTTTGGGAACAGATGAGTTACAATATTAATCAAAGGAAATGAGAATAGACTGAATAGTTATTCGACATTCAGAATGAGACTGAAACTTTTACTTGCTTATGGATCTCTCTTACAGAAATGAGGTGTACCTATCTTCTATTTCCACAGCACATATTAAATGGAGTCTTGTGTAAAAGTTCAAAATATACACGTGTGATTTTCAATTCTATAATTAAGAGAAGATTAACCACTTGCTATACAAATTGTAAATTTGTTTAGTGATTGACATGTTGGACGAAATGCCCCTATGGGTGATGTCTCATCTGAAGAAGAAACGAAATAGAATTAGTAGCTTAGTAATGAGTGTCTCTTGGGTAAATGACCAATTTTGTTAGGTAAGCCAAGATTGTTACGTATTAAACTAATCTCTCAGAAATGTACAGCAACCTACGCAACCCGTGCTTTGAATATTAATTTATAGCCTTTTTTTCTTCTTTTTTTAAAAAATCTTTTTATATTACTTGGATTGCTTTGATCTATCAAAGAATCTTTTTTTTTTTTTTTTTTTTTTTTTTTTTTTTTTTTTTAATGCGGCTGGCGTACAAAGGAATGTCCAACAATAAGTCCAATTAATATAACGAAAAAAGGAGAATATTTTTAAAACGGAATGATTTGAATATATTTTTGTTATGCCCATGCCACTTCTTTTTTACAAACTTCATTAACAGGTGAGTTCCCTTCTATTTTAATTTTATATAATTTTAAATGTGCATACAAAATTAAAATTTTATTAATTTTTTTCCTTCCATAATTAATAATGATTGAAATTGAAATATATATATATATATAAATATTTAGGAGGGGTGTTGGGTGAAAAACTAAGATCAGTGTCTCAATATATACATTTTACAATTTAATTCATACATGTATATTTTTATACATAGACTTCCCTTGATTTTAGGACTCTTGATAAATTACATGTACCAAATTAATTTAGTTTTAATTTTCCATATATTAGATGTATCAAACTAATTTAGTTGAAACACTGTATTTCATTTAGACTCAACTTTTTTTTTTCTTTGACTAAAAGTGTATATATTAACTTCAAATTTTTTTCTCAATATTTTTTAAAACAATTTTTTTTATTAATTAAACTTGTACCTATAACACATATATTCAATTACTAAATATCAGATTGAGTTTCATTTTGAACTTGAAATACAATATTTTCTTTTCACTTTCATGCATTTCAAACCCATAAAATAATATTTTATTGTTATTTTTTAAAAAAAAATTCTTGCTAACCAAATATATAATAAAATTTTGATTTTTTTCTTTTCTCCTTTTACTTCCACTTTTACTTTTCATCGTATTTTTTTTCTCTAACCAAACCGACTTAGAAATTGTAGATGTATTTTCTGCCGAAATTCAAGTGGATACGTGGACATATACCAAACGTGGAGAAAGAGTATTATTTGGTTGTCTATGTAGCACGCCTTCTTTTATTTGGTTGGTTACGTCACATCCTAATAAATGAAACCCTCAGGGCCTGTTTGAGCATTGTTCTACCATGTTCTACTCCCTTCCCAACAGTGCAAAATTCTACTGTTCTGGCCCAAAACGTGTTTGGCATGGCTTGTATTGTTGTAAACAGTGCTGGAACATTTGGCAAAAATGGGCCAATTGTTGGAACAAGAAATAGGTGTTCTTGCTTGTTCCCATACTGTATCGGCCCACATAATACTGTAGCTATCAGAACAAAATACTCACTTTTGACCACAGGTATAAAAAATCGCAGAACACTTTGTAGGGTTCACGAAGCAAGCTGTTCCAGAGGCGAGTCACAGTGCTCTTCTTGTCACTACAGTGGGGTTGAATCAGATCTGAAGGTCGTCTTCTTCATTCTTTGGTGAGTTCCTCTGCTTCTTCTTCTGGTTTTCCTTGTGCTCTGTCTAACTATAACTCCGTTGTTTGAAGATCGGGCTTCAAATCGACCATATTTGTATGAAGATCTGACCTCCGTCTGTCTCACCTCTGCATTTTCCGGCGAAACCAAGCTTCACTGCTGCTCTCTGCACTCTCGGTTTACCCAAGCTCTGTCTCTATTTCCTCTTCTCTCTCATCTTGGTATGTTGAGATTTCTTACAATTTTTTATGTTATTTCAGTTTATATTGATGAGAAAATTCTCAGAGCAAAAAAATAGGAGTTTAAGGTAACTTAATAAGTTTTATGAGTTTGGAAATTTTATGCACGATCAACCGGGTTGAGGGAGCTTTTATGACTTTAACCCCTATTTTTTTTTTTTTTTTTTTATAAACTAGAAACAAATTTTTTTTTTTTAACTTAAAGAAGTCTTTCATCTTTTGGTGGCTATGAGTACAGAGTGTTGGGTAAGTAATTAAGAATTAAGTTAAGATATCATATCAACACCAAAAAAAAAATTCTTCTTCAATAATAAAATATATGCTTACCTATCAATCTTCTTCTTCTTCTTCTTCTTTTTTTAATTTTTTTTTATTTTGCCTATCAATCTTGTGACCCATCTTCATTTTATATAACAAACAAAGCACTCAAGAATTGTAATCCAGACTACCCAGTAGTACTTTTAGTGTTCCAAAGTGATAAGGCGAAGGTTCAATCTTGTGACCCATCTTCATTTTATATAACAAACATCTGCACTCAAGAATTGTAACCCAGACTACCCAGTAGTACTTTTAGTGTTCCAAAGTGATAGGGTGAAGGTTCAAGTCTTTATAGACATGAAAAATGAGCGTAAATCATTATTAACATTATATTCAAACACTATTAAGAGAACTACTGCCTACTAATTTAAATAATTACAAGCTAATAATAGTAAAATGCAAAAGTAGCCAAAATATGCAGCATGCATGAAGATAAACCAATTCCTTTTCATATATATATATATATATATATATATATATATATATTTTTGGGAAAGTCCTTTTCATATTTCGTGATACACATCTAGTGGACAAAATTTCAGAGACTATCACAGATTTTTATTTATTTATTATTATTTTTTTTTCAAAGGAGAAAGGACAGCTCTGATTTCTTATAGAAACTCAATGCTCTAGCTCTACTCACCCAAGTTACATAACATGCCAAATACCAAATTCAAAAAATAAAATAACAGCAAAAAAAAATTACTCCACAAATTAAGTACCCTTACCCATGATGGTCACACCATGACAACCACTGATCATGATCACTAGTAATCATGCCACAAAATGATAATGATGGTGGAGATTAATTTAAGCCATCATTTTAAGAACGATATTAATTTTACAGTCAAAGAGTTTGAACAATATACAAAGTCGAAGACTGGATACGGATCGTTCAAACTCTTAGGCCTCAATAACATTACTCTTCTAGGAAACCAATCTTGGTTAAAACCGCATTCCTCACTTTGCTGAGGTCTCTTCCTTTGAGTGTCCTTCCAATCCCTTCACACATGGAGAAAGAAGAAACCTGACTTCTTGCAAGCTTCCTAGCTATATATTCATGTGGAGGCACCATTTCATCATCATCAACAACATCATAATAATCCCCATAGCCATAAACATCATCACCTTTCTTTGCAGTACTGTTTCTGTAAAGCTTTGACCAGTCAGGAATGTTCAAAGGAGCTGATGACCCCTGAGCCATCTTGGCCTCACTGGTAGTACTACTGCTCCTAAATGGAATTTTTTTTTTTTTTTTTTTTTAAAAAAAGAAGGAAAATAAGGGTGCAAGAGAATGAAATCAGAATAAAAAAGGAAAGCTTTTCAAAGTTTTTGTCATTTTTGTAGTCTGAATGGTAAGGCTTGAATAAAAACCAAGCAAAAAGAAGGTATTATAAGTGATGTGAAAACCCCCCAGAGACTACACTTCTTTAAGATTTTTTTTTTAAATATCTTATGTATTGCGATTTAAGATTTTTGTAATGGGGAAGATGGAGAGTTTTAGATCATGTATGACCCTTTTAACACATTTTTATTAAAACTATGTAATTAGATGGATATCAATGCTGACAATGTGGTGGGAGAAGAAATAGAGGACCTTACAGACAATACCAATGATGGAAAACTAGTATGGGATGATTCTCAGGATGAAGCTTTCATCATCTGTATGGAGGAAGAAGTGAAGGCTGGTAATCGGAGTAACACAACTTTTAGTGCAATTGGATGGAAGAATATACTAAAAGGCATGATGGTCCGTATAGGCAACAATCTTGTACTGAAACAACTTAAGAGTAAATTCAACCACTTGAGAACAGACTACAAAGCGTTTGTGAGTCTGTTAGGAGAAACAGGCGTGGGATTCAATGCTGAGACAGGCATGGTTATAGTTGAAAAAGAAAGATGGAGTAGATTGATCAAGGTTAGTTATTAAAATAAATGTCTGTTGATTTTACAAAAAAGTATACTTATCTTAATATTAATAGTAATTTAATAATTTGTAGGTGAATGCCCAATATAGTAAGTATCGAAAGAAGCCATGCAATCATTTTGACAAGCTCACCACCATATTTGGAGGCACACACGCTACAGGTGCACATGTCCATACTTCGTATAGTCCACCCATTATGAACCAAGCCCCCGCACACCATGCAGACATACATACCTCATTTGACCTTAATGATGATTTTGCTGAGTTAGGCGGTCATGAGTTCAGTCCTTCTCCTAAACCTCGTGGTAAGAAACCAAAGAGAGAGAGTTTTGCCTCCACAATGAGCGAGCTCATGCACTATATGAAAGAGAGAGATAGAGAGAAAGCAGATCGAATTGAAAGAGCTATAGTCGCTTCTTCATCATCTAATATGATTACAGTTAATAAAGGAAATGTGGAGGTTGAAGTCAATTCTCCCGACAAGACAAAAAGTGATTTTAAGTTATGTTGTTATATTTTGAATAACTTGGAGGGTGTTAATATGAAACAATATGGTAAGGTCACCCAGATATTACGCAATGATGAAATTTGGAGGGATTTCTTTCTTAATGACTGTCCTGATGATAAGAGGGTTAGTTGGATCAATGGACTTTAATTTGGTATGTTACTTTTATTTTGATTTTGGATGACTGTACTATTAAGTATACTTTAGTTGATGTGTTGCTTTTATTTCTTATTTGGTGTTGTTATGACTTTAATTGATTGTAATATTAAGTACACTCGTATTTATGTTATTTAGTTTGAAGCTCATGACAATATAACTATTTAATGAACTGATTTGACTTTATTTGTTGTCTTGCTTTTATTTATTATTTGGTATTTCGCTTGGGATGATTGTAATTAATCTCGTTTATTAAATTTTGACTTATATAGATGGATATTAGGACAATAATTGATTTGTATGACGATGGTGATGAGGAGAATGATTGTGTCATCGTAATGGCATGCATGTTGGAGTATTATAGGAAACATTACGATAAACAACCAATGGATATTCTACGCGATGATATTGCTGACACTATATGGAATGCAAGTCAGCACCATTGAACAAGGATTTACATGTTTATCATGTTTGAATAACTGTAAGAACTACTTTATATTTGTTCCATTTGTTAGTATTTGGATAACTGTAACAACTACTTTATTTTAACTATTTGTATGGATTTGGATAACTGTAATAAAATATTTATTTTAACATTAATTGACGATTTCGATAAATGTAAAAGTTGTGGTAACTATATGATTATCTTTTTTATTTTATTTTAATTTTCACTTTTAACTTTTTTGGATCAGTTTAATAACTTGTATATGCAGTCATGTATAAGATACAGGGTGACGGGCCACCGTGTGCATGTGGAAGGGGTCGAATGAATCTTTATACGGCTGCAACTTCAAAGAATTATGGACGTTCATTCTATAGATGTCCAGCTTGGGAGGTATACATTTTTTTTTTAATTAATAATTTTTTTTTAACTACATGTGTGTGTCACAAGTGCACTCTAATAATATACAAGTCTTTGTTCTGATTTAGTCACATGCTCGTGCATTTATATGGGTGGATGACATGCACCAACATCTACAAGTGGGTGGTCATGTGGAGGAAGAGTTGGAGGATGTAGTTGTTGTTATGCAAACTCAACAAAATCGGCAAAATTACATTATCTATGGTTGTTGTTGTTGTCTTTCTATAACTATATTCTTTATGTCATTTCTCATGTTGTTGTTGTTGATTATTGTGGTTGTTGATAAATGATGTAATATATTAGTTTAATTTTATTTTGTACTCACTTTTATTGTGCATGTTGACAAATGATGTAATATTTATGAAACTAATGTCTGTAATATATACAATTTCATGTAATGTTTAATATATTGAAAGTTTATTTCAGTTCGATATTGAAATAATGCTGTCAAAATAATATGCAACATTAATAAGTTTTAAAATTTAGAATATATTTTATTGGTTTTTATAATAAATTAAGAAGAATTTTTAACAATATATATATATATATATATATATTAAATGTTATATTAATTGTATATTAAAATAATGCAATAATTAATTTTTACTATATATTTAATTTTTAATAATATTTTTTTATTGATTTTGGTTACACTTTAACTTTGCCAAACATGTTTTGTTCTCATAATTCTTAGAACGAAACACATTGCCAAACATGTTCAACCATATTTTTGTTCCAAAATTTTCAAAGCAATTATAACACGCCAAACATATTTTGTTCTCATTTCAAAACACCACACTACAAAACACTTATTCTGTTCTAGACTAAAACACTACACCACACCACACTACAAACTCCAAACAAGTCCTCAGCCTCAGGTGAGAAAACCCTCCTCCACCATTTTGCTCATCATAAATGCAAAAGGGACAACCTCACATCATTTTCAATAGGGGCCTAGTTGTCTAGTTCCACAAAATGATCCAACTTGTTCGTGTCAATTTAGCAACAGAAACTTCGGAAATCAAAACATTAAGATAACACTAACATCATGAGAGAAGACTAAAGTTTAATGAGCCCATCGCGTCACCATGTGCTCTCTCTCTCTCTATCTCTGTGATGAACAAAACAAGACACAAATCGATTATGTGCCATGAGAGAGAGAGAGAGAGCAGGGGCAGATGAGAAATTCTGTCTTGTTTTGTTCATCACAGAGATAGAGAGAGAGAGCACATGGGCCGATGAGATAGAGAGAGAGCACATATTATTCGATTCTTTTCACTTGTGTCTTGTTTTGTTCATCACATAGATAGAGAGAGAGAGAGCACATAGGCAGATGAGAGGGGAAATGAAGAAACAATCGTGGGTATGGACATGCCTCACTCAGCTCTCCCTCTGCTTTGCTCTCTATCTTGCCCTCAAGATGGGTCAACCTCACAATCATAACACAAGTTTGAGTAGACCTATTGATTTTTACTTCATCACCGTTACTGGTGGGTCTAGACCCCTTCAACAACAGACCCATCTCCTCAAACAAGTCAGTTTTTCACTGCTTTCTTTTGTACTTCAACAAAACTTTATATTTTCCTAATGGAAACCCTTGTGGGTTTTTTCTTAATTTTTATTTATTTTTCGTAATATTTGGAGTGGACATTTTATTTCTGTTGGTGGGTATGGCTTAACCAAATGCTCTTGGACTTGATAAAATGTCGATAGATGGTATATTCTATTTATTGGGTTCTAACTCCAATCCACAAGCTTTATTTCGTAGTATTTGAGTTTCAGATACATGGATCCATCTTCTTCAATGGGGTTCTTTGTAAAGCCTGCGGTGTCACTTATTAGAAGCTGACATGGCACGATGACAAGTCATCACGACCCTAACCAAATCTTCCGTGGCGATTTGAAAAGTCAAAAGTCTCGATAAACTAATTCTCGAGCACCCTAAGCCCATCAAGCCTTGAGAGACCAACTCTCAAGCATATTAAGTCCTGATACCGCTCTAGGCCCATCAAGCCTTGAGAGACCAACTCTCGAGCATATTAAGCCCTGGCATCGCTCCAAGCCCATCAAGCCTCAAGAGTCGACCCCTGAGCATCCTAAGTCCTGGCATCGCTCCAGGCCCATCAAGCCTCAAGAGTCAACCCCTAAGCACCCTAAGTCCTGGCGTCGCTCCAGGCCAATCAAGCCTTGAGAGACCAACTCTCGAGCACCTTTAAGCCCTGACATCGCTCCAGGTCCATCAAGCATCGAGGAGCCAACTCTCAAGCACCCTAAGTCCTGGCATCGCTCTAGGTTCATCAAACATCGAGAAACTAACCTTCGAGCATCCCTAAGCCCTGGTATCGCTCCAGGCCCATCAAGTCTCAGGGAACCAATCCTTGAGCACCTTAAGCCCTAGCGTCGCTCCAGGCCCATGCAAGCCTCAAGGATCTAATTCTCGAGCACTCCAAGCCTTAGTATCATGCCAGGCAACACCACTGCGAAGGATCAGAGCCCTAAAAGGCTCGCTGTCAAATTTCGCACATAGCACGAACCGAAGGTAGGGTCTTCGTAGCTATAAAGAATCTAAGATAGGGAAACTTAGGAGGATCTTGGATTAGTGGATGAGAAGTCAAGAAGTGTCTTCGCTTTTAGCAAGGCCCAATTAACAAGATAATGGGATTATACACATTATGACAGCAAACCTTAAAATCACATTTAATGCTATGTTAGGCTTGACCAGCTGGCGGCCAAGCAACATTTAATGCCCTTGATTAAGGGGGAAATGATATAGCAACAAAGTGCAAGGCTCGATGAGAGGATTAGACCCTTTAGGCTCCTAAACCTCCAGGATTACCCACGTAGTCCTAACTAGGAGCAAAACATGCAAGAAACCATGCATGAAAGGGACCATTGGATAACAACCAATGGAATCTGGGCCTATAAATAGTACTATCCCATGAAGAAATGGATAACGAGAAAGGAAAAGCTGTCATAAAATATTGTATACTTGCCCTACCACCATCTTAATCTTGACAGTTGGTCTTTTTCTCCTCCTCTTATAGTGAGCATCTCATCTGTTTCCTTCGTATTTGTATTACTGATATTGCCATTACATACTTATTTATTGTTTGATCAAAAAGAACCCCTACAAAGCCTTATCCTCAGTTTGACCTTTTTTTCGCCCCCAGTTGTTTCAACCCTTCCTTGTTTTCCTGCCGTCCTGTTAGTCTGTCTCAATTGCTTTTATGTTATGTTTGGGAGAACTGAATCAGTAGCTTGGATTTGGAATTGGAGAAAAATTTAGTTAAAACTTGAATTAAATTTCCTTCCGTGGATTTGGTATTTCCAAAACACAACAGAAATTTTAGGTTTTCAGTTCGTATAGCATCTTTTACTTTATTGGTAGATTTGTTGCCCATTCGTTCCCTTTCACATTCATATACATTGGTTGCGATTTGGTTTTCAATCTTCTTCATTAACAGGCTTGACCACTTAATTCTCTTTTCCACTTACAGGTTGGTAAATGGTTATCAATTTCCTTTTGCGTCCATATACTGTCACTGCACTTCTGATGTTTCGTCCTCACATGTTCTTTAATAGTGAACATGGTTTTATATATATATATATATATCTGGGTTTGCTCTTTACTGTCTTGTTTTTCTATTCTCTTTTTTTATTCGATTTTGTTGTTGATGAAGATGAAGAAAGTGGTAAAGACTTACAATGCGAGGTTTGTGGTCAACATTAGTGAACTTGGAGAAGATGATCCACTTATGCAAAATGTAAGACCTCTGTCTTCACCAAGATTTCAATTTGGATAGCCTTTCCAGTTTTCCATATAAAATTAATGTGACCGTTAAACTCAATTTTATTGTTGTGATTTGTTAGTCACGCAAACTTTATATAAATCCAGTTTACAATTAGCAATCAGTGCAAAGCCATTTTGGTGTTTTGTGATCAATAGTTGAAGTTATGCATGGTTGATCCTTGAAAAAATGTTAGAAGTGAAGTCTTCCAAGATTCTTGTGAAATCTCCAACGAGAAGGTATAAAAAACACGACACTATGAATTCTTTTTTCTCATTTAATCTTTTGTGAGATGATAAAAATATGGAAAAAGCTATACCAAGAATTGGTTCACATAGAAATGCACATATTGCTTCATGTAAGAATGCATGTAGAATACCAAAGGGGGTTATTCACGTTCCTTTCTTGCATTTTTGTACCATGGGAACTGATTTTCTGCTAGAAAAATGATATCATTTGGAACAACGAATTGGAACTTCTACTTCTTCCTGTGTAGGATAACTGAGATTAATGTTCCACTGAGTTATGACTGGAAAAAAGAAAAATAAAATACGATGAAAGGAAAAAGAAATAGAAACACTCGTTTTTGGTTGGCTGTATCTTTAAAGAGTTAGGTTCCCATGATGATAACTGCCATTCATGTCAAAAGATACATGCTACTAGAGAATGAAATCTACGAGACCTAGGCTAAGTTTTTGTTGTCATTCTGGGGCGTGGATGGGTGGTTTTTGGGTTGAGTTCTTGGTTTGCAACTGCTTTAGCTAATTTAGTTATCACTAATCTCAACAATTAGCAAAATCTAACACAGCTTCATTTACAGGCCACATTGTATTTTCAGTCTCCAAAAGTTCCCTGGTACACCATCCTCTTTAAGATAATTCTCTGATTTTGGTATTTCTATCTTGTAGAGGTTCATTTAGAAACCTTGGGTTTCATGGGTTTATAAGAATAAACTTTTTACAAACTATCTCTTCAGCTGATAGTCCTGAACTTGTAGGTACACAACTAGAGCTTTGAAAGGACAAGGGGCAGATTACTTCCTCAAGCAGATCAAAATCCCTTACGGGAAAACGTTGGATGTTATTGTTGTCAATACTGGGTTATTGCAGGTCTGTCCTTTTTCTCTTTTGTGTGTCGTCCATAATTTTCTGGTTTTCAATTTGCAATATTATTATAATCTGGAAAAGGAAACTCTGTCTCCCTTTTGTAGTTGCAGTATATCTGCTTAGGGTAGTTGCAATTTTGCTGGAGCCAATCCTTTTTGTGTTCTCTCTTGGTATGGTTCACCTTGCTCCAAGTGTCTTGTTTCTATCCCAGAGTACATATAAAAGATAATCAAGCCAATATAAGTTCCTTATATGTTCTTTAAAAGACTCTACTATATTGTATATTTCAAATATAAAGCATGTGAATCATCTTTACCATGTTATGACACGCATTGAATGCCTCATACTACAGGTGAAGCTGGTCCTAGTTTCCTATCATGGTTAAATATCTGTGACACTGGGACTATATTATTGCTTAAATCCATGGGATTATGATTTTTTGTGGATCAACGTTTAGATTTGAATAGTTTTGTTGGTTTTCTAATCAGCTCATCCATATTTGTAGGAAGATGTACTTGTTTATTTAGCTTATTTTGTAAAAGTTTTGGGTAAATAACTATTTTTTTCATTCTTACAGAAACAGAAAAACAAAAAGTAAATAAATAATTCTTTTGAATAAATTATGTCCATATGTTTAGATTCTAGCGGCTCTGTCTGTTGTATCTGTTATTCTCTTAAATTTGATTACATAATTACTGTCTCACCAACAGTTTCAGCACTTCTTCCTTTTAATTTTCAAGTTTGGGATTCATGAGGTCCATTATAAGGTTAGAGAATGGGATGGCTTTTGATATAGTAGAGGTAAAGTTGGTTTTGTGGGAGTGTATTCATATTGGAGGGTGCAGATAGATCTTTTGTAGGATCAATAATTTCCACTTAACTGAAAAATAATGCAGCACTAATATAATAATTGGCACTTCTAATGCTTGAATATAGCTATTTTCTCTAGCTGTGGACGAGAATGGTTCTCACACACTAATACATATCTTCATTAGGTCTCTTTATGTAGTTATCTTTCCTTAGTACATTCTTGCCAAAGGAGTAGTGGTGTAGTTTGAGAAATACATGTAGTAAAGTTTATTGTAAGAGTATTTTAATTCTTTTTAGTTTGGAGCATTTTGAAACTTGTTTAACTTTATGATTTAGGATCTCTCAAATGGCACTGGAAACAATCAGTTACATTGGCTGACGAGCAAACTTGAAGCAAGCAATAGCAACTGGTACAATCAAATTGCATTCTATGTGAAAAACTTGCAATAAATTAAATTTTCATGGAGTTCCCGTTAGGTCTTATGTTGTTTTGATATCGATCCATGTTCATGATACACCATTTGAAATTCCAACGACCCCCTTTCGAAATTATGGCATTTGCACATGATATTGTGAAATTATTGTTTTCTATTTCGATTATGACATGAACCCAAAATATTGTCAAGTAAAAAGTTCACTTGTGAGAAAGTTTCTTTCAGTTTATCTTTGCGGCCTTCCACGTTGACTATGTTTATCAGGCTAGGCATCTCAAGCCTAATTGCATTCTTTTTCCTCTTTCTGAATCCAGGCAAATTGTTGTCGGATTCCACCCACTGATAGCTTGTGATGAGAACACTGAGCAAATGGAAGCAAAACAAAATTTGAAGCCTTTACATGATATACTTGTGAAATATGGAGCTGTAAGTGAAAATTCTAACGCCCCAAGGTTCTGAATCTTTTTCTCTTTTTTTTTGGGTCAAAATCAAATTTCTGGAAGTTCAGAAACTCAAATTTCATCCCAGGAATGTTGGTTTTGTTGACAAATCTGTGAAAAAAATTCAGTAGGAATTATGAAATGGCTCAACTTTCATGGAGACCAACTTCTGTTTTGTGCATTTTCTCTTTAGAACGCGTACCTGAGTGGACAGTCTTGTGATCATTATATACGTAAAGGGTTTACAATGCACATCAATTCAAGTGCAATGGAGAAAGGCCCTTATTTTACATCTATTAATCGAAGTTTAGTTTTAAATAAGTGAGTACTTCTTTCAATTTCCAGTGGAGCTTTGCAGTTGCATTTAGATCTGCCGCCTTATCTATATTTTTATTCTCTCTTTTTGGTTTCACCAGAAGAACATTCAATGGATTCCTTCTTCATAGAGTCAGCTCCCTAGAGATTGTGGGTATCAAGCTTTTTCTACAATTGAAAACTGATTCATAGTTTCTGGTTGGTGATTACGTTTCACGGAGTTCTTGCTATCATAAATTGATTCATCTTTCTGTGACAGGTGACATATTTCGTTACCTTGAATGGGGAAGTCGTGCACAAAATTTTACTCCAACCAAGAGGTAGGGAGGTCATGTAAATCTCACATTAGGAGGATCAAGTGTTCATCCGTTAAAGTCACTTCAGAATTTGTTCAACACTCTCTGTCTCTCTCTCTTATATCTCAGCAGCCACTGCCCCACAATTCTTTTAGTTATTCCTGAATACTGAGTCAATGTAAATTATTACACATCTGTATTTTTTTTTTGAAATTATTGTAGAGCGAGCTTCACCTTACATTTTCCTTACTTTCATATGTATGTATACTTTTGACATTAGTTTGTAATTAGTGATGATTTGATTTGAGCTCTTCCTGAAGTGTTGAAATGATCATCGCCTTCAATTCATCTAGAGCTCCTTGGCTTTGTATTCCAACCAGGAAAGTTTCATTGTAATCTGCTTCTTGTTGGGTGTTTGAAAAGGAAGCTGTTTTTGACTTGAAGGAATATGAAGCGTGTGCTTGGAGTGGTGTTTTCGGAATGAATTATTTCAATTGTTATCACTTCTTTTTCATCATCTAACCCCTTTTTAAGATGCAATATAGGTGGATGCTTACTTTTTAAAGAAAGTTCTTTTTCTTTTGCTTTTTATTTGGATGTTTTACCTATTGGAAGAAGATGAGAATTGCTGTCATTTTTCGGAGTTTGTTGTGAAAACTGAAAATGAAAGCTGTCATTTTTCGGAATTGCTGTCATTCACGGAGTTTGTTTTACAAAGTCTTTAACAATTTTGAATTTGATTTTAGATCGTGCTTGAAAGCTTGGCAAGATATGAAAATAAAATATAAATGAAATCAAGTTACCAAATACTACTAAACTCTGCTAATTAAATTGCTCAAGTGCCCCTATATCATTTTTAAGGAGTATTTGCTTATATCTTTTCATTCATAGAGATTCCAATGAAATGTCCAGAATACCCTCAACCGTGTCAAAAACACCTTACTGATTAAAATCAAAAAGGTCAAACGAGTCATAGTATGATCAAACCAGGACAGCATAAATAGATGGGTTGTGCCCAAAATTAGGGTTTGCGCTCAGGAATAGAAAGAGTTCGCTCAATGGGATGGGAGATGTTTCTAAGGGTGGTTGCAGTGTTTTCCAAATCAGGCACCACATTAATTTTCATCAGGAGTGTCCAAAATCAGGCTAGAATAATTCCACAACTTTTTACCCCTTTGGAATGTGTTATGATATAGTTTTTTTGATATTAGTCTTCAAATTTTGGCTCATATCATCTTTGGGACGATTGATATTGATTTAGAATAGTTCATAATATATCAAATTTTTTATTCGAAAACAAATTTTTGTTATTAAACATGGTTTTGATTTTTACATGTGTACAACAAAACGATTGTTTTGATATTGATAAAAAAACATAACGCCTAAAACATATCCCATGACAAACAGAAATGTCCTTTATCATTTACTACTTGAGAAGAAAAAAATAAAATGAATGAAGTTACCAAATAACTAAATTGCTTAAATATCCTTTATTTACTTGAGAATGGAGAATACATTATCAATGGACAATCATTTTTTTAATTATTTAACTTAGGGCATGTTTGATATGCGTCTTGGTTTTGATGTTTTGTTTTAACTTGAACAAAATAAATGTTTTTATTATTAAGTATTTTGAATAGTAATTGAAAATATTTTTAGCAACATTCATTTGTTGCAAGTTTTTATAAAGCAAAAACAAGGGCAGATACAGGAATTGTTGATGGGGTGGCTGATACTAATAATAAAATTTTTTTTTCCTGGTTCGGCTAAAATTGGTAATAGAATTTTTTTAATTTATTTTTTAAGTGAGCTACAAGTTTGAAAAATATAATAGTTACTTTTAAAATGTCATTTAAAGAGTTTTTTTAACAGGAATTTTTGACTTATGTACTAGAGGTTATAGTGAAAATATATAAAAACACCAATTTGGTGTTTCAACTTTTTGTCACTATTTATAAAATGTTTTAATATCGTACAAAATAAAATAATTTTTACTAAACTTATATTTTCACTGTTTTCTATTACAATACCGGACAAAAACAAAAACACCGGAAAACAATTATAGGGATCCGGTGAAATGTCCAGAACACCCTTAGCAGTTCCACAACCACCTTACTTCAATGTTCAAAAAGAGAAGGTCAAACAAGGCATATGATTAAACCAGGACAGCATAAATAGAAGGGTTGTGCCCCAAAGTAGGGTTTGTGCTCAGGAATAGAATGAGGCTCGGTCGGAGGGATTGGGACGTTTCTAAGGGTGGTTGCCCCTCTCTGTATACGATGATCTCTAAGCCAGATCATCCAGAGCCGATGATTTCATTTCCAATATACAATCAACAGCCCTTTGTATGTGTGTGTGTGTATATATGTGTGTGTGTTTGTGAATAGGGTTGGCTTATTTCCAACCCTTCTGCTGCTGCTGCTGCTGCTTCTACTACTTCTACTACTACTTCTTCTTCTTCTTCTTCTTCTTCCTCAACATCATCACCAACTCAATCTGTATATATAAGAGGCTGTGATGAGAATTCTTTTCTGAGTAGATCGGGCATTGAGAATCCGGCCCGCTTATTGGCTGGGCGACCCGGAGGGTCTGTGAAAGCAGTATTATGCTTTTTTTTTCACAGGCAACTGGTGTTGCAGCCATGGCGGGGTCACATTTCTCTACTGGTCAAAGGCAGATCTGAGCCTCCCCATTTTTACCAAATATATATTTATTAATTTATTGCAGTATTATTTCTGGAAGTCACCTTTTGTTAATTATGGGGTATACCTAGTATTATATATATGTGTGTGTGTGTGTGTATAATAAGATTTTTGTTAGAAATTGTTGAATTGGGTGGTGTTATTGTGCCAAGGCATAAGACATTGTTTTACCTGTTGAGAGCTTTAAAAGGTTTTATCATGGAAAGGAGAGGACCATGTGAACTAGCGTACAATTTATGGAACTAAAGTTGAATCACTGGAACTAATAATAATATTTGCAAAGCAAGAGAGCTTAAAAGGTTACCTTATGTGATGGCAGGGGACATCTTTGTCCAAACAAACATGACATTAAGCCTTGAGAGAAAGAAAAAGTAAAAGAAATAAATTAAAATTTATGAGGAGGATTTCTCACATTTTTCTCCCTCTTCTCTTAATAAAGTAGATTTATTCAAAATTATCAAATTACTATCTTAATTTCAATTCTTCATATTTTCATACACAAAACACAAGGGTAATGTCTTTGTAACCGGTTATAACTATTTTTGAGAGTAATGTGTCCTCTCAACTATTAAAAACAAGCAAAATACTTTCTCTTAATTATTAAAAGCAAGTAAAATGCCCCTTCAAATGCCATTGGAGGCAACTTTCTGACAAAGTTACAGAATTACTAATCTATACTTAGTTATTAATTTATTATAAAAAATATAAAATTTATTAATGTGAAATATTAATAATTCCTTTATATTTTTATTTTATTCTTTTCTTCTTCAGTCTTTAGCGCCGCAGAAAGCCGTAATCAATAAGGCTGCTATTGCCCACACTGATGCCGGTGATTGATGTAGCTTTTTAATGATTGGTTTAAAGAGAATCTGATGCTTGTATATAATTTGTTTTATAATATTAATAGTAGTGATATTGACACTCCAAAATAACACTTGCTCCATTACCATTCTCAAAAAAATAAGATGCCAAAAAATCCTTGTTTAAGCTTTAATAGAATTCTACTAAAACGTCTCACTTTTCTCTTCATATTTCCTGACCCCATCTTGCATCTCAAACCTCTGTAACTTCTATTTTTTATAGTTTTTTGGTCCTCTTCTACCAAGACTTGTTTCTCTTTTATTTTATTTTTAAAACAATTAAATAAATTAAAGGAACGTGAAATGTGAAATTGTGGAAAGACTAAACTTGACAAAGATGCAAGTGCAAAAGTTTAGAAAGATGCAAGTCTCTTTGATGAGAGGCAAAAGGTTGCCAAATCATTGTTATGCCCTTTAAACCTTGAAAAGATCAGAGAGTTAGATGAGGAATCAGATTGTCCAGAAAAAAAAAAAAAAAAAAAAAATAATAATAATAATAATAATAATAATAATAATAATAATAATAATCCATAGATTTGAGATGAAGGATGGGGAGAAGGAGAGAGAGAGAGAGGAAAAGAGAGGTGAAAGGCATTACAAATATATATATATATATATATATATATATATATATATATATATTCTGTTAACGCCTGAACAAGGGGTTTTTGAGAGTTTTATTTTATTGACAATAGTTATAGATATTTTGGAGCGCTAATAGTTATCACCCTATTAATAGTGATAGTAAAAATTCATAAATTTTAATCCCAAGGGTTGCTTCAAATAGGTAAGCCACTTGGTGCCATTTATCTTGAGTGTAAACCAAAAAACCAAAAAAAAAAAAAAAATTCACAGATTTTTTTGTGACTTACCCTCTTTGTGACAAGCATATGTAACTGACCTTTAAAGAGAATCTGATGCTTGTATATAATATAGCTTTGACAAAGTGCGAAATAGAAGTAATGAAACATAGACTAAAAATGTTCAAAATTAAACAAAGAGAAGTCCAATTTTATTCCTAAAACTATTTAGAGCTTCAGGCCTTTCTTGATTCAAGCATGAACTTCCTACTAATTTACAGTCTAAATTCTTCCCTTTGGCATGTTCAAAAACAAAAACAAATAAGTGTAAGTTAACAAATACGTTTCTCTCTTAATATGACTTAAATGATTTAAAAAGTGGAGATAAAAAATTTATAGGGAGTAGGAAATTTTTTTTTTTTTTAAATTAATAAAGGCTACATGTCCTGCCAAACTAATTAGTTACAATAATATCCCAATGGAAGTAAACAGATCAAAAAGATTTCTATCCCATTGAAAGTAAACTAAGCAACATTATTGCCACTAGAGAAAGAGCTATATTAGCAATGTTCTTGGGACTGCTTGAACCTGGTTTCTCAGCTGGTCCAGGTGTAGCACCTGCACCTTCACCGGCAGCAGCAGGCGTTGGAGCTGGAGGGGAGACATTGGAAACAGGAGGAAGAGGTGGGTCAACAACATCCGCGACATTGAGGGCTGGTGCAGGGGCTACTGCCGGTGGCAGTACTTCTGGTGGAGCTAAGTTGAGCAGAGAACCTGGTTGTATTGGTAAGATGGAATATGATAAATTGGCTTTCAAGTCGGAACATGGACTTTCTGCAGTACCAATAATAGCACCATGTTATTTACAGTATTTCTCAAACATTACTGCATTGTATATATAAGTAGGGAACTAGAATTAACTATTATTTTTTCATATAAATATCACTAAATTCTTGAACCAGTAGAAACCAAAGGATTTCACTAGGGGCATCAAAAGAACAATTGAAAGAAGATCACATTGGTGTAAGTCTGTTTTGTGCTCATTTGTTTGTCAAATGAACCTTTAGATGCTTTGTTGATGTTAATATCATGACACATTCGTATATAATTAGAGAAATCGTAAACAAAAATGTGTGATTTGAAGGTCCTGAGAAGCTCCATAAAACAGTTATAAGGATTGTGACTCTTACTTATATAAGCAGTGGCAGTTGCTGGGAATTCTGTCACAATCCCATCAACACCAATTTCTGAATATGTGGCAAGCTCCACCATAGGATCCGAGAAGAAATCAATCGCGAGAGTGATAAATTCATTCCTCAAAACAGACACATAGACTGAAACATTGCCTCTATGCATACTCTCAACGATACTTGTGTTATATTTGGTGAAGGATTGAGAAGTTGCAATGATGGAGGATCTCTGGACAGTAACTGCATCGGCATACTTCTTGATTTCATCCACTATCTGACTGGTAACAGCACTTATTTGCTCTTTAATGGACATTACTCTTTGGTAAGTTGAGACATTCTTAAATTTGGACAGCACTGAACTGTCATCTGACTGGATCAAAACTTTCTGAGTGGATTGTTTGTCGAAGGTGGCATTGCTCAAGGCAGTGGCAACAACATCTGTTATGCCGAGACCCTTCTTTGATGCTAGGTAGGCAGCATTCTGAGAAACAATGGTTTTTTATTTGTTATACTTTCACAGGAAGATGAAAAATTCATACTTGTATAGATGATTGGTAAACATTTGGCATTCAGTTTGTTAAAAGTGGTATATAAGGATGTATATGACTATGTACTGTGTTCATGTTGAACTCAAATTGTTAGTAACTTACCTCTATATTGATCAAAATTCCAGTAACTGCCTTTGTCTTGGCGATTTCTAAAAATGCTGAAAGAGTCACGAAGTTACCCTTGTTCTTGTTTGCAGGGCTTCTTTGCAAGCCTTCATTCGGTAAAGGACTTGTTAATTGAGCTGAAATGAGAAAGTTTATTGTAAGTGGAATGTTTAAAGGTTAAAAGGAACTAAATCCGCAGGTGAAAAGCTTTTTTCATTTGAAGTTTACGCTTTAGGGTTGTAATTTCTTTCCAGGTGAGATCAAATGAAAAAATTCCATTGATGTTCTGAATTTCAGGAATCTTGGTGGATCTTGACATGAAAGTACTCAGCGCGGTAGTATCTTTTGCGAGGTCTGCTGAATTCAAACAGAAGGCAACTCCATCTTTCGACATTTGAACTGAGCAATCAATTATGTCTGCGCCATCATCTATGGCTTGCTGATAAGCAAGATCTGTGCAGCCAGCATATAGTCCACTAGCTCCATTGTTGGTTATGATCAAAGGTCTTCCTGCAAACAGAAAGATTTTTAATGCGATAGAATAACTTGAGTCTTTATATTGATTTTTTTCCTATACATTATATTGTAAAGTAGTGGAATTTGAAGAGATTTTAGGATTAAATTCTTACCTTTGATAGGCAAGGTGACATTCTTGTTTTGAGCAATGCATGCTGCATCAAAAAGAGCACCTGAGATTAAGAAGAGACTCCAACATGGTTGCAGCAGGGACATGCACAAACATTCTTGTTTAATGGTTAATTTATTAAGACTTGCTTTTCGATATGAGTCTTCAGTAACATAGCAAATTGTTTTTCTTAAACTGTTTTGTTTTCTCTTGCATTCATCTATTGTTTCATCCCATTGTTTTGCACAGCACATTGATAAACAAGGAACAAGGAACATGATTACATGAACACGACACATATAATGAAAGAATGGTAATTAAAGTCTCACCAATGGATTCTGATGCAGTGGAAGGGAAATCTGAAAGCAACCCATCAACAGAGAACTGGGAGTTATCGATATACTGCAGGTACTCAGCTGTAGGATCGTAGCTATAATTGTAGCTTGCAAAAATATCATTTGCAAAAGTAGAAGCATAGACTTCTAAACCTTCTTTATGAGCATCTTCAACAAGACTAGTGGCAGTCTGCAAGTACAATTTGATGTCCACAGGCCATATTTGTTCTTTTGGGACAAGAATTCCTGATGCAAATGACTTGATCATGGAAAGATCCTTTATTATTGAACCATATGTATGGTTGGTTGTGGGCTCAACTGCATCTTCCTTTAGGATCCGGAAGATGAGCTTTGTCCGGGCTTTATTTACTTTTCCACCTATGGCCTTCAAGAAACCAATCTCGGGAGATGAAATGTAATGTATAGCAGTACTTCTCAAAGCGCTTTCAACATATGTTGCTACACTTAGTTTGTGTTGAGTATAGAAAGTGTCATACTGCAATTGACAGCAGAAGGAACACAAAATCCATAAATAAAAGGAAATTAAAAACCAATATTTGTTCATACTAGATTATGGTGGATACTTATTCTCAGGCTGAGCATGCATCAGTAAAAGGATCAGAAAACGAAAAAAAAAAAAAAAAAATAGAGAGAGAAGAGAGGTACCTGAACATTCAACCAAAATTGAGGGCCCTTAAGTGATGCTGCATCTTGAACAGTGGACAAAGGCAGCATACCATCAAACAAACTTGATCTACTGTATATGTTTTGTGTCACTGCAGGAGAAGTAAACAACACCGCGAAAATAAATTAGCTAGTGTCTAGCCTGCAACAAATGAAGTGTAATTGATGATAAAGACTTACAATATACATCTTTGAACAGCTCTCTGGATGTAAAATCCAAAGCAAACCAGCCGCTAACATCCTTTCCGTTCACATCGTAGGTTTGTTTCCTTTTCGGGTAGGCAAGTGCTATAGTTGTTGAATTCTCGAGTGTTAAACTTGTCTGGCATATACCATTCCCATCTTTTGTAACTTGTAGATCGCAGAAAACAATCACATTGGACAAGCTTGTTGATGCCGCAAATCGATATGCAAACTGGCTGGAATCAGGGAAAAGTCCCGAGTATCCGCCACGAGCTATTACAACAGGCTCACCCCCTACGTACAGTTAAATTGGAAAAATTAAATATATCATCACATTAATTTATACATGTAACTTAGTGTAGTCAGAGATCCAACTCATACTTTTTTCTTCTTTTTTTCATGAGAACAATATATATTTAACAAATTTAAAGTATGTTTTAGTTTATACTATGTTTTATTATCTTTTTAGTAATTTCAATTTAATTCTTCAGCCTATTAAACAAATCCTGTAAGTTGAAACTATATAAACATGAAAGAAAAGAAAAATTGAAGAATGTTTTTACCATTTAGAGTCAACCATTTCTTTGCAGGTGGTTTCTTTGAAGAATTCTGTGCTATCACGGAGTGGATCAATAAGAAAACAAAAAACAATCGCCTGATCATTTTCTCCTAATCCTGTCTTCAAGATTATAACAATAGATTAAATGAATAATAAGGAAATAATGGAAACAAAATGTAACATGTTCAATATTGATTTTCAATTGTTTTCTATCTGTTTGGATTAAACTGGATCATACCTATAACTTCTTCAAATACACCGAAATTTGGCTTCACATTAACAAAAGCAAAGAATATACTACTAGTACATAAAACCAAAATTAACGAAACCCAATAGGACTTACTTCAATGTTGTTGATGTGTTAGATTGAAGAAACAAACATTTCCTATCAAAATTCACCGGAACAAAAAGATCAACAAATTCTAATCGAAGGCACAGTAACGGAAGAGAGAGGAGAGAAGAGAGAGAGGATAAGTTCTTACACATTTATCGCATTAATAGCTGGTTAAGATTTCACTTTGTTAAAAGTATTGACCCGAATTTTCATTAAATTTGGCCATATTATGTTTGTTCCGTTTTTATAGGAGCAATGTTTGTCCATGTATATTTGGCGGGAGGAGGTTCAGCTAAAACAACAAACGTCTTAACGATACCGTTTGTTTAAGGGGGCAGCAGAGGTTGTGATCATCCTTGCCAACGGTTGGGATGAAATCATGAAATCGCTTTAGGAGGGTATCAAATGATCAGTGGCTCTGTGATTGCGCGATTGTTGGGTCCCACATGGACCTGCAGCCATCGCAAGATATAAATTTGGATCAAGTGCCAAAAAAAAAAAATAAAAAAAAAATCTCTTGTAGCGTAAAAGTCCCCTTTATTCAAAACTTAATACCCTTGTAGAATAAAATAATATATAAAAATATTGGTCATGTAAAATAATTGTTTTGTCTCACTCTAAATTTCTCTCTCTAAAAACCTTTTGTCCAGAGGTACACTGAATCAAGTACACCTTGCACTCATCTTACAATGAAAATATGGCGACTTTGTGGATAGGTGTATGTGAGCGTATACGTGTACGTGTGGCATCAATAAGTTACCATACTGAGTGAGTTACAAGTGCACAATCTCACATTGCCTGAATGTGAAAGAGGCAAATGTTATATGTAGATTCAACACCCACATTTTAAAACTGTGATGGCCATGAATTAGAATTTTAAAGTTTGAAATAGTACTAAAATGGGTGACCCCTTTAGAAGTCTCTAGTCTGAAGGAATAAAAAACAGACAATATTGTAGCCGAATAAAGTAAGGGTTGTTAAAGAAAATCTTCATTTTGAGTTCTCCACATTTCGATTTTCTTTAAGTTCGTCCGTAGATAATCCATCTTAGCTTTTGTAACAACGCACATAGGAACACATTGTGGGCAGGACGACCACACATATAGTCTGATGTAACCACTGTTTGCTGCGACAGCTTTGAGCTTTGTCTGAGAGAACTCTAACAAGGTGGTGATGGCTGTTTTGGGGAAACTAAGGATCATGTGGGATGATGGGTACACACACAAGGCTAGCCCTTTGGCACCCAAAGATAAGCTCGACGAGCTCAGGCCCGGGTGAGCAGAGGATGACAATAGTGTCACCTACTTGTAGAGGAAAAAGAAGTTGAGGTACTGGCAAACCACATCCAAGCAGGACTACGGCTGCATGCTTTCTCGGGCGACAACACAGATACAACGACCCAACCGTTCGTCAAACTTCAATTATCAAACCAAATAACAACCAAACCACGACGATCAAACCGAAGCACCGAGCTACAGAGACATATGTGAATCATGTGATGGTTAGTGTGTATATATAATTATATATAATATATATGTGATGTGTGCTAAAGTGAATTTTTAAAAAAAAAAAAAGAAAAGTTGAGTGTTGCCCACCTATGGGAGATGAGAGAGAGAGAGAGAGAGATGGAGAGAAGGAAAAAGAAATTAAACATGAGAGAGGAAGAGAGAAATCGCAAAATGGGGCAAATTGAAAAGAAAAAAAAGGGTAATATTGGACAATATGGAATTTTCATATTTATTTTTTTATCAAAAAATAATTAGAGGGGATTATTTACATTTTTTTGGAAAAACAGAGACTGATATGCACCTTATTTGAAAATTAGGGACGGTTAGTGCTTAAGTTTAAAATTGAAGAATGTATTATACACAAAACGTGTACTACAGGAGTTTTTTTACACTTAACCTTATAAATTTTGTTTGTATCATTTAAGGTAGTAGATTTTTCTTTTTACATAAATTTTTTCCATGCCATCTAGATTTTGTGTTTGGAAAGAAAGATTGTTTATGTGTTTCCATTATACAAGTTCCATCAATAAGAAATGTTTGAATTGAATTAAGGTAAAACCATTCTCTTTTTTTATTTCATTAATCAACCAAATATGATAATTAACACCATTATATCTTTTCATTTCTTTTATTTTCTCTTTTAATTAATACTACCATTTATGTTATTTTCCATTGTACCAAACATAATTTTAATATAACTCTCCTAACTAATATTATTATTTTTTTTATTTTCCATCCTGCCAACCAGCTTTAATGCCCGTAGCAGTCAAATATGAAAGGTGATTCGTGTAAATAGATTTAATTTGTATATAATAAAAGTAAATTTAAAGGAGCGAGTGTAATTTATCCATTTATAGGCGGTCTAATACACAAATATGGAGATTTTTGGACGATGCTATCCGACGAGTATGATAGATCCAAATGGTTGGAGATTGAGCATGACAGGTAGGCGGTTGCAATAAACATAGATTTTCATATCACAGTGAATTGAAATCTTGCCAGCGTAGTTGAATGCAATACACCACTTGAATGTTCTTAAACCGATCAACTCATTAGTGCGAATTTCTTTTTGCTTTCCTTCCTTCCCATCTCTATTCATCGGCGAGTTCTAGAGAGAGAATTGTAGAGAGAGATGAAGATCACTGCGCTTCTGGTTCTGAAATGCCATCCGGAGGGGTCGGATCCGGTGATACTTGCGAACTCGTCGGACGTGAGCCATTTCGGTTACTTCCAGAGGTCGAGCGTGAAGGAGTTCATCGTCTTCGTTGGTCGGACCGTCGCTAAACGGACCCCACCCGGTCAACGCCAATCCGTTCAACACGAAGGTCTATTTTCTTCAACTCTTCTTATCTGTCCTTTTTTTTTTTTTTTTTTTTTTTTTAATCTGAATTAGGGTCTTGGATCTCATAGTTGTCATGTTCTCGACTTGAATAGTTGACTCATTTATCATTATTATTATATTTATGACCTGAATTCACGATGGATTGTACGATCAGTTGGGTAATTTTATTTAGAATCTTTGTTATGATTAAGCTCGATGAAAATTGAACAAGCTCAAACTTTGGTAATTTCGTAGAATTCGCATTTGGAATTAGATTTGAAACGCAAAATCGATTAGGAAAATTTTTTATTCAGAGATTCGGTTGCTAATTTATGGAATTTGGCCAAATTCGTAAAATAGAAGATGAGGAACTTAGATAATTGGCATTTGTATGATTTTGAACTTTAATTAGAGTAAAATTGGGAAAAATTCAGATTGAAAATTCGGTTGTGAATTAGTAGATTTCCACCAATCAAGGAAAGAATCGAAAGACTTTAGTGAATTATGTGGGAAAATGGGGGTTTTTGTTCTTTTTCAATTTGAATGGGGACTTGGACTATTTTTTGGATTTTTAGTTGATAATATTGAGATTTAACAAAATGTTTTCAAGTAGTCAAACAGATTTGAGCGAATGCCTTCGTAGCTGGGTTGCTCCCCGTTGTCTTTGGGAGCCCGGCTTCGAGCCTTGGCACCTCTAACTTCTAATCTAAGTCAAACAGATTTGAAAATTATGTAATCTGAAAATAATTTGGGTTGATTAGGCCCAAATTACCTCTAACTTTGCAACTGGTAAATCATGAATAAACTTTGTTGTTTGTGTAATGTTTATTGACAAAGGTTTGTTAATTTGGTTACTGTTTAGAGTTTGGATGTTTTTGTTTGTTTTTTGTTTTTTTAATAAGTAGAAATATTGACATTTAAAGGGCCCAACTGGGTTCAAACTGGTGACCTCTTGATCTGCAGTCAAATGCTCTACCACTGAGCTATGAACCCATTGTTTGTTTCAGCTTGTTTGGATGCTTTTGTTTAGGTTTTCTGAATTGGACAAAATTGGGCTTTGAAGTGCTATGATTAACAGTTTTCAAATTAGAAAAGACTGACCTTGTTTTTGGCGAAAATTGAATTGGTCAGATTCATGAAGTCATCATGTCAGATGCATGAAGATTGTCCTTTACTAGAAATCAGTTTTAAATTTTTGTATATCTCTGCAAGAAATTTTGTGAATTGCAAAGTTTTTGTTTCTGTTCATAGAGTACAAGGTGCATTCTTACAATAGAAATGGACTTTGTGCATTGGGATTTATGGATGATCACTACCCTGTTCGAAGCGCATTTTCACTGCTTAACCAGGTAAACCACTTCTATTTATGTATCCAATTTTCTGGGAGCAAATTCATACTCATACCAAATGCCATGTATTAAGTGATCTCATATATTCTGTTTGTTTTCTTTAGTTAGTCATGCACTTTTAGAGGATTCTTGACAATTTGATATAAGTTTTAGCATGTATAACCAGGAACATCTGAGTGAATGTATCCTATTTACTTCTTGTGCTGCCTACTTTATATCTTAAAGCTATAGATTTTTTTTATCTGTTATTCTTTTAACAAGTTTTTAACTAAATCTTATGTTCAAAATTTGAGAGCATGTATAAAAGTTGAAGTAGCAACAATTGAAGATAAAATGATTAAAAATTGATTAAGATGCTTGACCACGTGTAACAAATACCAATGAGGAGCAATGTGAATCTATATCAAGGGTAATGGTAATAAAGAGGAAAAGAAAACTAATATGGGTTGGGTCAAGGAATATATGTTAATATTTGATTTGGCGGAATGAAGAAATATGCTTTTTCTAACTGACACCAAGTTGCTCGGAGAAGTTTTTGTTGAGTTGAGTTGCTAGGATAAGAGTTAAAAAACTGGTAACAAGATAGAAGAGGGTGCGTAAATGATAACTTATCTCACTTTTACTACGGTTACTTGAAAAAGAAATTGTCAAACAATGTGTTTATATTCCTTTAAGTGAAGGTGAAATATTCTATTGAAAGGTATATAATAATACGAAGGATAGCATAAATGGTTGAACTAAAGTATGTGAGAATATATATATCTATATATAATCTTTTCTGCTTAAGATTCTATGCTCTACTGCTGTCTATATTTTAAGTTTCTATCAAAATATGTTAATAAAAAATTTATGTGTTTAATGGATGGATCTGAAATTGAGGGAGTTGGGATTCAAATTACAGATGGATATGGAGGTTGATAATTGAAGTTGAATAGAGAGAACCCAAGGGAGACAATAGAGTAGAGGATCAAGTGGTAGGTGAGCTTTCTTATTAGGATCCTTGCAAATCTTGAATTCTCCTCGAATTAGGATCCTTGCAAATCTCGAATTCTCCTTGGAATGAATTTCAAGTAACTTCCTTTACATTATTATTTCAAATCCACCCATATATGGCTGTCAAATTTATCCATGCACCTCCTTGAAACCTAAATCTAATCTATCAAATCTAAATTAATGCTATTCTCATTGAATAATTAAACTCAAAATCTGTTCATTTAAAGCGCTCAATCTTAATGCAACCTAAAGGGTTTCTTTTGTTTCGATAATTATTTAATGTGTATTCATCATTATTTCTTGTTTTAGTATAACTGTGTAATTACCATTTGTAAGGACAATCGTGATAGGGAAAATGGTTTGTTGAGTTAAACTGAGATTAATGAAGATATTTCAGACTCGTACAATAGAAAATTGCTGTGGCAAGTTGTCTACACATGCTAAATTCTTGATGGACTCATTTTCTCCTCTGGTATCATATATTTATTATTGACCTCAGTGAGTGAGAGATGTATAACATAGAGCTACTTCTGCACTTGCTTTTCCCCCACTGGAGAGATCGATTGTTTATAAATTTTAACTTGCCAGTAACACTAGGACTATCATTATATTGATTAGAAGTCAACCGTTTGTCAGGTGCTAGATGAGTACCTGAAGAACTTTGGTGATTCATGGAAAACTGTGCAAGCTGATAATACTCAACCATGGCCCTATCTAAATGAAGCTCTAACCAAATTTCAGGTATTCAATTAACTTTCTTCATCTTTGTGTTGTCAAGTGTCATTAGAGAGCATACTGGTCTAAGCTTTCTCATTTCAGTTTTTGACCTTATGCTGAAGAACTGAAGCACTTTTTCATTCTGTTTTCCTCTTTCAACTCTTCAGGATCCCGCTGAGGCTGACAAATTATTAAAAATTCAGAGGGAGTTGGATGAAACCAAAATTATTCTTGTGAGTGTTGAGTTATAACTATTTTCCTCTTTCATCTTAGTTTATTCTTTCTGTTTATGCCATCACAAATCCATGCTGTCAATGTCTTTAGTTTCCTGTAACATTATATATGTTCTATTTTTATTCAAATATGCTTTTCTTTTATCTTTTTTCTAACTTTTAAATCAGTAGTACCATACTGTATTGAGCAAATGAGGTGGTTTTAATGAGTTTCATTTAAAATTTGATATTAATTGGGGAATTTTTATTTTTTTGAAGTCATCTGGGAGCATTATGGTAAATAGGCATTTATGATGTAGAATTTGAATGTTGCTTCTTTAGAGCAAAATGATGAATTTATGTATCCTGCTCTAAACAATTATTGATGTATGTCCTCTATTTCCTTTTCTGTCTGAAAAAGTTCTCCTGGTGGATTCATACATGTTTAGAATCTATAGTGATGCTATCAATTGTTTGCTCAGAGCTTTAAACTCAAAATTGGTTTTTATCCAGTTTATGTTGAAAATGGAGGTGCTTTAAGTTCTCATAACAAGCCAAAATGGATCATTTCCACCATTACATGTTATATTCTTCTATGAAAGATGAAGAATGTATCTCAATAGAGAGAAAAAGGAGAGAAAATTTGTTGTGATGCTCTTTTTACTGGCGGATAGCTCATAAGTTTGTGACTTGAAAGCCTATGTTTGGCTGTAAGGGACTCAATAGTAATTAAAAATTTGTTGGAATGTACTGACTGGAATTCTTAAGAAACTGAATCAATATGTTTTGAAGCAAATTTAGTTAAAAACAATTGTTGGTAATGTCATTGAGTTTATGATTATACGTTCTGACTTAAGCAGATAAATCTTTGGTTATTGTCCTTGTGCATGAACTCACATGAAAATACAGCTCCCAGATCTTATGGAGATTTGATAGCATTAGACCAGTTGATGTGTTGCAATGTGATATTTGCTCATAATGCATCTCTCTCTCTCTCTCTCTCTCTGTGGGACAATACTTGGTTATATATTTTAAGTCCATCGTTTCATTTGCTTCTACACGGAGGTTTAGTGATTTTCTTGATGAACCTGAAGTGGTAAACCTAGGAAGTCCCCCCCCCCCCCCCCCCCCACCAACACACACAGAGTTCTGGAGATTCTGTCAGTTTATTACTACAGTGGTGATAGCTTTTTCCCTACTAGGCAGTGTTAGAGAAGAGTACTAAATGATTCAAACCATAGTTTGCCCCCATATTAGATTATGTACATCAAATTTATTAGAATGAATTTGCAATACCCAAACTAATGACAGCTTTACTGTACAAATTTGAAGAACCAACAAAGGTACTCCATTGAAGTAAAGTGGTTAAAATAAATAAATAATTAAAGTGGTAAACCTAGGAAGCTTTTGGGAATTACTTCCCTTGAAATATACGCACACATGGTTTGTTTCAGAGATTTCTGTCAGTATTTCTACAATTGTGATGACTTATCAAAAAAACAAAATTCTACAATGGTGATGGTATTTCCTACCAGACTGGGTCAGAGAAGAGAATACTAGTTGTTTCAAACTATAGTTTGTCCCCATTTTAGATTGAGTATATACATCAAATTTATTAGAATGATTTTTCAATACACAAACTAATAAATATACTGTACAAATGTGATGAATTAATGAACCGACAAAGTTACTCCATTGAAGTGTATCTTCTTCTAACGTGAAATATGTAAATGTTGATGTTAAACAGTCCATATTAATTTCCGGATTTCTGTGTTATGTACATTTCTTCTCTTCTTTATACTATACACATGGAAAACTTCATGGGACTTCCTTTTTACTATGATATACTTTCGTGCCAGTGGATGGCGGATGAAGATTTGTAGATTTAACTGGATATGAGATGAATTATATATAAAAATATAGGAGTTTGCTTGGAGGTTTGAAATATGGCTTATACTTGACATTATCTTATTTGAACAATTATTTGCTGCACCCAGTCAATCTCATTTTGTTCTTTTATGTTGTATGTTTTTCTACCCTTTTTTTCCCCCATAAATCAACAATAATATTTTTCTATCTTTGATACAGCATAAAACCATTGACAGTGTCCTTGAACGTGGTGAGAAGCTGGACAGTTTAGTCAACAAGAGTTCAGATCTCAGTGCAGCTTCACAGGTACATACCTGTGATTTGGTCCTAGCATGATTCTCTCACCAACATACATCTATTATACCTGCATATTTGTGTTGGCCAAAGATCATTGCTATACTTACTCATTGCTAATACAAGAACCTACTGGTGGTTGTTGAAACTTGAAACAGATGTTCTACAAGCAGGCAAAAAAGACCAACCAATGCTGTACTATATTGTGAGCTTCTAAAGGGAGGGCACGACATTGTCATAGAATTCACTGGTTCTGGTGTTAATATATGATGGATGAAAAAAACGGTGATTGTTGCTTATATCGTTATCCATTGCTTGCTTGGCAGAATTCTATGGATTTACCTTCTTGTATGGTTGGTGTTGGAATGAAGAAAGGGAAAATGATTGATTGATATTGGCAATTTTCTCTTTTTTAAATACGTATATGCTCCTTGGTCACAAAGCTTACACGCGATATTATATGTTAGCATGTTTCTTTGAATTTGTTGCACTGCTATTATCTGAGATTTGATAATGCCCTAAAACACTATTCTGAAGTAAAAGCAGCTGATCAATTCCTCTACAGTAATAGTCCTTTTGGTTCCCAGTTCTGTGAAGGTAACGTTAAAAAAAAAACAGTGCAAGTGAAATCATTATTATTTGTTTTCTTACCATCAGCAAAGGCAGGCAAACAAAAAATTTTATTGAAGAAAGTGAATCGATATTTTTTGTTCTATCTGCTTCCAATCAATGTTCATGTATGTTAAAGGATTGATCACACTTCCAGTCATAATCACAATAAGCTTGGCTGTTGGTTTATAAAGTTTGTGGCACGGGTTATACATTAATGACTGGAATTACAGAGCAAAGCAAGTAATATTTCACTTGTGAACGCATTCAATTATGCAATATTATGGTTGGTTGTTTGGGGAGAGAGAGGGAGGGGGTAAAAATGGATAATCGTGTAAACTAGGATTCGGTGGTAAACTTGAAAGGGTAAAATCGTCACAGAATCAATATATTTGTCACATGTTGGTGATTGTGACATCAATCCACGTTCTTCTTTACAAAACTTGAACCGGAGGAACCTTTCGATAAAAAGTTTAAGGAGAATTTTGTGTAAAAATACCTGATCCAAAAAGTAAAAATAATAAAAAGTTCAGGAAATTCGACCTCATACTTTGTGTATGTACAAGGAATGCCCAAAGGGCAAGGTCAAGCCCAATACAAACTCAAAAGAGCAAAAACAAAAGATAGTGGAGCTCAAAGCGAAGCCCAACCCAAGAAAATCCGTGAGATGATGGGCCTACCATTAATCGCTTGAGGTTTACGCGGTCACGTTTCCTTTTCCTCGTTCTTATTAACAACACTTTATTCAGACAAGGAACTAGCTCTCTAAAATGCAAATATACTTGCGAATTTTTTATCCAATAAACAAACAAACACACACTCGTTTTGACAGAAGAAACATTTGACTTTTAGAACAGTCGAACCAGTGGCCGAGTATGTGAGGAATTGAATGCTTTGAATGAGTTTTGGTTGGTAGACATTTGATTACACCTCATAAGTGCCAAGAAGCCACCGACTTCTTCCAGGTAAGAGAGATTCTAAAGCAGCAACGCATCAGATCGTGTTCATACTAGTACTACTCCACCACACTGAAACAAAAAAGTTAAGGGAGAGAGATGTCAAGGCGACCGGGGACTTGTTTGAGGTGTTGTTTGGTGGTTTTCGCGGTGGTCTCTGCCTTTTGCGTCTCTGGTCCTGCTCTCTATTGGAAATTCAACAAGGGATTCAGGAGGTTGCCGGCAACTTCACCTTCTTGTACTCCTTGCATTTGTGATTGCCCTCCTCCTCTCTCCCTTTTTGCAATCGCTCCCGGTATGTGCCCTTTCTATATTCTATATATATATATATACACATGTTTGTAATTTGGTTCTTTATTTCTGGGTGGTTGTTAAATATTGTCTCTGTTGGATTTTATGTTGATTGGAGCTAAATTAATGTACCCATTTTATGTTTTTAGGTTGTGGCTAATGCTTCTTACTAATTATTGAATTCTGACTTCTCTTTTGTGTGATACAGAGTAGCCAATTTAGGTTATTGTTTCTTTTCTTTAATCGTGATCTTAAATCTGATAAAACTTTGTATTTGTATGAGTATGTGAAATTAAGGGCATCCATTTCACCCTCAGGATTTTGATTGATTTTGGATACTTGTTCTCTCTCTCTCTCTTGCCAAGGGTACTGGAAATTGAATGAATTTAAAGGGAATTCTCCTTTTGGGATATACTCCTCTTCTTTTTTTTTTTCTTTTTTTCTTTTTTTCTTTTTTTATCTTTTATTCTCTATTATTATCTTATACACATGCCTTTATTTCATGGAAGCTACTTGTAAATTACCAAGATCTGATATTATAAGTTGGTCGCTCTCACTCCTGCTCGTTCACTACTCTCTCTCTCTGTCCCTCTCTCCATTTTTTAATATCTGAAATTTAGATTATTTTTAAAATATTACCTTCTAAACCAGTTGAATTCAGAAGTTTGAATGAGTATGATTCAAAAGCAAATGACTCAAATTTGAGAATCATATTGAATATTTCATCTTCAACACACTACTATTCAGTTTGATAAAAGACTTCCATAATTTCGCTAACAATGGGGAATGCTGCTTTGTTTATGGTGCATACAAGGCAATGCAGTGAAGCCTTCAAAATTGCTAACACATTTTCTCAGAAATTCCCGAGAATTGGTACGGTTTTTGGTACACACACACCTTTCTTCTCACAACCCAATGACAACACCTCCAAGGCTCCAACCCCCACATAGGTTTCTTCTCACTAACCCACCTTCAGGATTGTGTGCGTGCATGCTTCTTACCACCACCACCCTCACATCTGTGTGTACGAGTATGCTCTGGCCTTTATTTATTTGAAAAGACAACCTGTCCATTTCTGTTGAAGTACATTTCAATCATAGAAAAGTCACACATAGAAACATTACTATGTTAATTCCATAAACTGGAAATTCACATATCGTTTATTTGAGCTTAAAATTACTATGAAATTTAGAAACCTCCCTACTCCTTTTCTTCTTTTCCTAATTTTTTACTTCTGTGCTTGTTGTCTTGGATTGTCTCTATCTTATGGTGTATTGTCTTTTCCATCATTTCTTTCAAGAAACTATTTTGACTTTTGAAATTTCTGGAAAATATGGAGCTTTCTTGTTATTGTTTTATTGTGGTTTCTGACTTGCTGCCTGTTACAAATTGCCCTTTGAATTAAGCTTTTATCTTGTGGTAAGGTAGGGAGTTCATTTGTACTAACACTTCTCATTTTAATTTCTTCTTTTGCAGGCTTGCTCAATCTCTCTGTTACAGGTTAGAGTTCATCCTACAAACTTGCCGTAGTGAAGAACTTCATACATGCTACTCCTTGCATTTGTCACTGCAATCTTTATGTTTTCCACTGATTCATCATCACCATCATCATACTTGCCTTTATCCCGTACTTACAGGGTCGTCCACGTGGATTCTCTTTTTCAAGTCTTTTCTATCATAAGTCATTTCTTCTACTAGATTTAAAAATTTTATATCATTTCTTATTACTTCATTCCAATGTTTTCCAATGATTAAGACTGGAAAATGATAGATAATTTCCTGATTTTGGCCTTTATGATGGTTTTTAAAAAAGAAGTATCTTTTATCTTATTTGCATATGGTTGAAAATTGCATGCATATTATTTCACTTTCACACCCAATGGCTGCAGTTTGAAGGGTTAAAACATGAACACACCAAATGAGCTTTATGCCCTTTCTCGATCTCTCGCAATAATATATGTATGATATTTTCTTCATAGTTAGTTTTAACTAAAAACTCTTAGAATAAAGGTGATCTTAGGGTAACGGGTATGTGCTTGTACACCTACTTTAATACCATATGCTGGTGGTTATTGTTTTTATTAGATTTGTTTGATTTTGCAAGATTGCTACAGAAATTTGTTCTTAACTATGACATGGTCTGTATTGTTCTTAACTGCATCAATGTTGATTAGATGAAAATCCATGTTGTTTGGAGGTGATTTGTTTGCCAGAAGCTCCATAGCATTGATATTTTGGCAAGCTTCGAAATTTTTCTTGTTCACATGTGAAATCGTGATGAACTATATTTATATGATATTTTCTGGTGATGGTGATGATAGGCTGTGGAAGAGATGACCCAGATATGAAGGAGGAGGTGGAGAAGCAGTTTGTGGACCTGTTGACAGAGGAGATGAAGCTGCAAGAGACTGTTGGGCAGGAGCGCACCTACCATATGAACATCACCTTTGGAGAAGCAAGAAGAGTAGCTTCCCAATACCAGAGGGAGGCCGAAAAATGCAATGTTGCCACAGAAACTTGCGAGCAGGCTAGAGAACGTGCAGAGGCTTTGATGATCAAGGAAAGGAAGGTAACTTCCTCGTGGGAGCGAAGAGCCCGGCAACTGGGTTGGGATGGAGAATAAATGTTTGCAGTTCAAAATTTTAATTTTTCTGTGAATTATTTCACCTTGTTAAAGCATATAAATCTCTCTCATATCTTTTTGTATTTCTTTCCATGGCCTCAAATGGCTTAAATGGATTTTCCGTTATAATATGCAACTTTTCATCATAAATGGTTTTCTTTTGATTCGAGTCATTTTTCCTTCACCCCAATTCTGTTGTTTTGGGAAAGTGACATAGCTTTATTTGGTTAATTGTCTTTGGTTATTTGATTTAATGAAAAATTTAAGGAGACCATTTTCTCTTATTTGGTTACTGCTTATTGGAAAGATGCTAGTCAAGCTCTTGTTGCTTGAAGCAATGAAGAAATTTTTAGCAAATTAAGCTTGAAACATGGTTGTGCCTCTAATCACCTTTTATGCATCCTATCAGAAAAATACTATGAGCAGAAGGCTTTCATAGCCAAAGGTTTGTCAAAAGAATCCAGAATTGATACTTAAAATTGTATGCGGTCTTTATATATGTCTAGGCTGGAACTTTTCTGGAGAATTCTTGTGATATATAGTTAAATTGGGATTATGTCTAGGCTGGAGTATTAAAACTAGATGAAAATTGTATGACAATATCAAGAAAATTAATAATCAAAATTCTTGTGGAAATATTAGTACACTATTCAAATAGAGAAGTAAAAATAAATTACATAGGCATTTCATGTTTTCCCTCGTAGATCGGCCAGGAACAAATCAAAGACAGCCCTCAAGCGCCATGCCCTCGTGGCCGTGATGATACTCCTTACAAATGAGGGTACCTAAACCTCGCAACATTTGAGAATAAGCTTGCGCTTGTTTGGAGAGAAGTTACTAAGACCGCAAATTCAACAACTAAGCATCATTCTCTATCTAGGGAATTTGTTTGGTAAGATAAACAAAGGTTCTTCACCGCATGAACCTTGAAAGGCCAAAGCCAAGGCATAACCCAAAGCTCGGGCAACAGGAACAGCAACTGCATTTCCAACTTGAATGTATCTGAAACAATTATTGAATGATGAGTAGAGTAGTTCCAAAGTGATTATTTTTAGCTATAACCATAATAGTACTGTTATTTAGAGAACTTAGCTAACATTTCAATTTGACATTTCACCTTCACTTGGTAGAGATGGAAGACAGTAGTGTATTAGCGCTTTAAAACCTGACTAATATTATGCTAATCTAAACTAAGTTTGCTACTTTATTTAAAGAGCTGTCCAGGAATTTATGCACCACATGCATTCCCTCGGATAACCATCGAGATTATTCACCAACGGGCCATTAGCCCAATGGTAAAACCTCGCTGCCCTCAAAGAGCAATGCATGTGAGTAATTACCTGATTAAAGAGGGTAAAAAAAAACCATCAAGATTATTTCAATGGCATCAGTTCCTTTCTCCAAGGAAGTGTTCACTTAATTCTCAAATAAAAATTACCAAAAAATAAAAAAGTAGGTAGCCCACATCTATTCAATGAAACCACAATCTTAATATGTTCATGAGGCCAAAACCATGGTTTGAAGTTACAGTATCTGGCAGTCTACTTCATATATTCTGAAAACATTATTGCTCTTCATTTTTCACCAAATTAGAAACACTCACGTTGCATTTGAATTATAAAAAAATAAAAATAAAAAATCGATTTCAATTCCAAAGCATTGATTTGGTACTCCCAAACATAGTGTCAGTGAACTCTCATTTGATTCGGATGAGGATTGCAAGATGCCTATAGCAAACTGATCAAAATGAAAGAGCACTGAGGAGCAATCTAATGGAAAAAACCAAATATATCGCTGAAAAAACATCACTATGGTTCTAAACATTACCCAATAAATCAGTGACTCTTTCTCACGAAATGACAAGAAATTCTAGTTTATATTACGGATATCATAGACAGGTACTGCTAACTTTATTGAATTCTGGATGTAGGGGACAGTATGAAAAGGGAATCAAACAGGAGGTAAATTGAAGGTCCAAATAAAAGCAAGGATAAAAGGTGAGATAGATAGAATGTGTGTTAATTGTCTTAAAACTTTTGCCTCCTGTCAAAGGACCACACAATTCACCATTGAGGGAAATGGAAAATAATGGAGAGGTGATCCTTTCTTTGGTCCAATCTATGAAATTAGAAGGAAAGCCAAGGAGAGGGTGTCAATCAAGATGCACCACACCACAGTAAGAAGACTTCCTAATGTCGATTTTGAAAGAATGTCTAAGAGGAGAGAAAATTGTGGTAGCCTCTCAACAATTCTTTGGGAAAGAATATCACTAACTTTCCTACCATAAAACAGAGGCAATTTGAGTGTTATCAATGATAAAAGGAATAATAGGCTTCATTTTAGTTGCAAGAAGCTTTGATACACATTTATAATCACATTTGCAACATGAGATTGGTCATTGTCATTCATGGAAGAAGGGTAGGGCATTCAGGAAACTTGGCTATGCATAATCAATTAACAGATTTTAGAAGCTTGTCATTAGAGAAAAAATCTCAAGTAGATTAAATAATTGTTCTACCTTAAATAGGCCATGGTTTTTGGGGGAAATGGGGACCAGTAGACATGGCTACTGTTGAGGGAAAACATACAAGATTGAATTTCCACACTAGTGGGAATGGCTGAAATGGAAGCAACAAAGTTTTGAGTGACTGATTTTGTGATGAATGCTAAAATCCATACCTAGGTATTTAAGAGGGTTGCAGCCTAACTAGTTGAAGAAAAGAGATAAAATCTAAGTTTTGACATTTTGATCGCGCCTTCAATTATGTCTCCATAGGCTGACTTTAGACTTCTGATCTTTTTTTCCTGTTCACTCCTGAACTGAATGATTTAAAAGAGAAAAAGGAGTTATCACCAGCTTGGAGCTAAAGGATCCTAGACTTCTATTTGAGCATGCTCTCTTCATTTTCTACCAGCTTGGTGTATGACTTGATAATTGTCTTTTTGTTGTATTATGAGTGTTCATAATCAAGGAGCTTATTGTCCAGTGCTTGTTGGCAAGATACTAGTCAAGCTTTTTTGCTTGAATCGATGATAAAAGTTCAGAGATGTTTGTTTAGCAAGCTTCTCTCAAGAGGTGTTCCAGCAGTTTAAGCTTGAAACATAGTTGTGACTTGTGCCTCTAATACAAGTCTGCCAAAAAAAACTACCTTCTATGTATCATACCTGAAAGTTACTACGACCAGGAGGCTATCTAGCCAAAGGTTTGTCAAAAGAACTCCAGAGTTGATACCTAAAAACTTATGTGGTACTATAAATGTTTGGATGGGGATGTAATTCTCTAAAGACTTTCTGTGGGATTATAGTTAAATTGTTTGCACCACCACACCACACAATAGTATTGCAAATAGAAGGAAATTGTCTAACAAGAACAAGAAAATTAACAATCAAACGTTTAATGAGTTCCTTTTCCAAGGAAGTGCTCAACTAAAATTTACCAAAAATTAAAAAAAAGTAGGTAGACCACATCTATTGAGTTTTCAAATTTGAAAACATTGAATTATAAAATCAAGAATACAAACAGACTATAAAATCAATATCCTTAAGCATAGTTACCTTTCTTTGATTGGGCCAAGAAGTCTATAGTAATCTGGAAAACCTTGTAGTCTGGCATTTTCACGGATTGTAAGGACTCTATTTTGTTGAGGATGCAAAATTGTCTGACAAGATATTCAATAAATGGAGTTAGATAGTGAACACTTACATGAATTGCATATGAATACGCTACCAGTGACATTAAGGGAGAAAAATACTTGGTTGTGGGGCTCAGCTCTTGTAACAACTGTTGGAACTGTCTCGTCCCACCATAGCCGCCCAAATGGTCTAATAATTGCACAAAATTAGAATCTAAACTTGAAATCTACCAAACAAAAATATGTTGCTGAACGCTAATAATCACTACTTACTTTGTTGAAGTCCCTCCCACAAAACTCAATGCATAATCAGGAACCTATCATTATGGGCAACAGAATAAGAACTAGCCACAAATGTTTAAAAACAAATTAAAAGTAACAAAATATCAAATGAGGAAATCTTACTAAAGGCTTTCCTGAAGGCAGGTACACCCTTTCGCAATTTGAATCCAATTCAACTATGTTATTATCACCAACCTTAACACCTCTCAAATCCCTAAAGTTTGCACCCTAAGACCAGTACATAAAGAAATGAAGCTAACAAATCAAGAGGGAATCAAACATTTTCAAAACAATTTTTAACCAATATCTGACCAAGTTGTCGGAGATACAGCCAGCCAAACCTTTCTCATTGGAATTTGACAAACACGTTGATAGTCATCCTCATTTAATTGAAGTGGACGATGATCGAACAAGGCTTGCTTTTGAAGTTCTTCCCCTGTATGAAAAATGAAGAACTAGATCAAAAGATTAAACAATAAAAACTGAGTTTAGACAACTACCATTTGTGTTGTAGATGGTATATTTGCTGAAGTGAAAAAATTGATTGAAATTATGTAGAATGTTTAAACAATTATCTGCCTTGGGACTGGCATATGAAGGGGAACCACATAAGAAGTTAAAACTTATCTGAAGAAAACAAGGGTAATCATAACCACCGTCACCAATAGAAACGAAATATGAACATTCAAAAGCAACACGTCTCCCCACAAGTATACCTAATGACTACAAAATATATATCACTTAAATCAATGTCCATTTGCAAGATCACTAAAATTTCATCAGATTGGCCACTAAAACTGAGACAGCATAGCAAATTCTTTGAATTTTCATATCAAATGACAATTCTATCCCAAATAATTGTGAATTGATAATATAGCTCTTCATTTTCTCAAGGGCAAAGAAATACAATCTCCAACTATCTAAAGGTTTCCCCATTTTTCTGTCACTTTCCATAAATTTCTATCAATTTCTCGAAAAATAGCATGAAGACATTATCTAGTGTCTTCCAAGCCTCCAAAGGTTGAAGAAAGGAGTGAGAGAGAGGTAAGTTGAAGATCATCGCAATTAGGTTTATTCCCTTTCTTAGGTAAGTTGAAGATCATCGCAATTAGGTTTATTACCTTTCTTACCTCCATCATTATAACATTACTTATACCTCATCTCATTCATAATTACTCCCTTCTCCATGCCTTAAAGCCCAAATTAATGTTTCATTGTGCATCCATTGGAGTATAAAGGAGGGTATATAGCTTAAGGCAACACATTATGAAGCACATGCTGCATGGTGTATTATTCTATCTAGAAAATGTAAATGGAAAAACAGAAATTCATATACTCCACTCTCTTTCCCTTTTCTCACTTTCCTCTCAATTTTCTCCTTCCATTTCTTGCATTCATAACATTTTGTACTTCTACCCATCTCTCCAACGTCCAAGTGTAGGCTTCATTGTGCGGCATTGGAATATATAGGAGGATATGAAATGAAATTTGGGAATCCATGCATCCATGGATTTTTGTGTGTTAATGTTACAAGTCATTCATCTAAAACCATGGAAGATAATAAAGATGGAGCTTAGCAAAAAAGCATGTCAAGAATATCTCAAGACTCAATGACATATCCAGGTTAAGGTAAATGAAACCATAGTGAACTTATTTAACCTAAGTAGGCTCATTAGAAGGCCAAAAAAAATCATTTTGATCTTGCTTATTTGATAAGATGATTTTCAAAAATAGGAATTTTATACAGAATATTAAACCTCAATCAAATGGTTGATCAATCAAGAGTTTGAAAAAATAATATTTTTGAAATTTAGAAAACCACGATCGATCAAAGTTGTCATGCACTGCTCAATCAATTGAATCATGCAAACACACTTTAATTAAAACTCACTCAAATCAAAATTCTAAAAGGATTTTACTTCACCATACACATGCATCTCTCATATTTGTCATAAATATGGACTTATGGTCAATCTAGTTTATCTCTCACTGGAGCTTTCAATTCCTTATATATTACTGAGATAAAGGAGCTGAATTAAGAAACTCTATTCAAGCATCAATCAAGAGGTTTCTCAAGAACAATGAGCTGAATTTAAAACTTTACCATCCTTGCTTAATCTAATGAATCGCTGAAATTCCGTGTCTGGCTCACCCCCATAAGACATTTCATCTCGTGCCTCGTCATTTTCAACCTAAAACATACACGTACAAAAAAAAAAATGTTAAAACAAATAGAGTGAAAAACATAGGTCAAATCAAATACAAGAAAGAAAAACAAAAAATACTAAAAAATAGTTTATAAAGATACAGGAGGGAGGTCAGATATTGCATCCCAAAGCAATAGTTCCTTTTCAAGTTGAACTTTGCATCCTTCTTCATAAGCAACTGCGCATGACTGCATTAAAATAAGAGTGTATTATAAATCCAACAACAAAAGTCATAATTTAATGGGAAAATTAATTGTAAAATCTTACCTCAAATTCGACGGGAATATTACCCCTCACTACAAGATTGTGTGTTGGTAACGGGTATTGAGGCAACTTCTGCATACAAATAATAGTCAATCATTATAGAGCACATGATAAGCTTATAATTAAAAATAAATAGATAAAATCACCTCTGTTGGACCAGCACCCCACATGAACACACGCATTCGAAATTGTGGAAGTCCGAATGCCCCTGCTGCCATCATTCCCACCCGTGACTGATAATTCATCCCAACAAGCCGGCCCAAAGCATATCTTCCAAGAAATCCACCCGCAAACTTGACAATGTCTACCACATTTTCCATTAACACATATCTTGGCCTTAAAAAGTTGACTATATCCATAAAAACAACTAGTTGTTTATTTTTTAGATCAGCTAAGGGATTATCTTTATTTCTAAACCGGTTAAATCCACTTATCCCTTGACATGGGGGACCCCCACATACAACATCAACATTGCCCTATGTGATAAACAAGAAAAAAAGTGTTAATAAGAGTAAGAGCCAAAAACAATTATATATAAATAACAATATGATAATTCGTTTTGATGACTTACAGGCAAAGGTAAAATCTTTGATCTAAATCCATTTGTCACAAATTCCTTTATCTTCTGCTGACAATCACTAGTGAACAAAATTGATTATAAGATATTCATTTTAAATTGGTATATGGAGAAAGCCCAAAACAAATTTTGACTATATTTCCATACCATAAACCTTCGACGGGCTCCCATGAGTCTTCATCCGGACCATAACCCTTCCAACGAATCTAAAATCATAAAAGGGGAATATTTAAATCTGTTTTAGCAAAGATAATGTCTAAGTAACATAACAAAGATAATTTTGATACAATGTGTGATATAATAACTATATAATAAGGCTATAGACAAACTTCATCATTAATTAAAGAGGAATTCAAATTAAATACTACACCAAAATATCAACACAAGTAATAATAAGTCTGTTTTAGCTTAATACCTAATCTAGCACGTGTTTGGTACAAAATTCCTTATGAGAATTCTAGTTAGAATTCAATTTAACTAGAGATAAGTAAAATAAGTACCTTGAGATGCAATCCAGGTTTCTTAATTTCTTTTGGATCTCCATAACAGATTGCTAAAACCTTCTCTACTTCAAAGACTTCCAAATCATCTTCTCCATCATCGACATCAACATCTTCATCGTTGTCACTATCATCATCCGCCCCGCTTATAATATTCACATGTTCTTGTGAATCCTTACTCCCTATCAAGGAAAATGAGATGCAAAGCTTCTCCCACTCTTTTAAAAGAGTGAGAAAGTCTTCGGCTGATTCTGTTCTCACCTATATTAAAATATGAATCAATTCAAGAATTACAAAATTATGAAGTAAATGAGAAAATGAACGAAGGAAATTGTTTGGCTGCAAAACATACCTCTGTCTCAGGATGATTAAGTTTCAGACTATGACAGGCATGTTCATTCAAATCCACTGCCCATTTCTACATAAACAAGTAAAAGAGTTCATCACTAACTAAAACAATATGGGAAGGGAAAAAAAAAAAAAAAGATAATAGCTATTCAACACCATTCACATTTAAAAGAAGTATTATATTGCATGAAACAAAAGGAAGTAAACTTACAGTAACTAAATTGACACCAGCGATATTAGCACCAAGGCAAAGTCCTGTAGACATTGCTCCACAACCTGAGTATAGATCTAGCAGTGTTGTCTCTGAATTTTTGTTCTCTTCAACTTGGGAAACTTCTTCGCAATTTTTGTTCTCTTCAACTTGGGAAACTTCTTCGCATTCAAACTTTACTCCACCTATTGCTCCAGCATCATTAGCCTCACTAGAGATTGTTGAACCTGATTCACTACTGCTAGCTCTTATATTATCTGCAACACAAAAAAATTCAGAAACTGAATCCAGAAAATAAATATGCATTCCATTTTTAAGAACAATCCCAAGAAATTGGATTAATATACAACAAAAGCTTCTTTCAGCCCTTGAATACAAGAAACTACCTGGCAGTAAACTCACGAAAGAAAAATTTGGCAGCAAGTAAATGGTGTCACAGTAATAGTCAAATTTTGAAATTGCTGATTTCCTAGAAGCCAAATCCATCTGCAAAATAGGCCAGAAAATTTACCATTTTATAGTTTCATTAGAGCTAAACCAAGTAACAGGTAAGCTTTTCTACTCGGTAACTTCAGCCATACATTTAAGGGCAGCATGAGAATTTTAAGCCCCTCAACAAGGCAATCCAGAGGGTTGTCATCTTTGACTTCAGACAAGAATACACGTTTATCGTCAATGAGGTTAGAGTGGTTTCCAATGACCTGATGAGGAAAAAAATAAAATCAAGCACAGTTATATTAAGAATAAGAAATAAAGAACAAAACAACCCGTGGGGCTAAACCTTAAATTCTTACCGTATCCTCTGGCCTGTAAAACCATTGAGCTGTGAAATAAAGAGAGCCATCCAATGCCTCAAACATCTCCACAATCCTACAAATATAATTGTCTCGGCCCTCTTCAGCCTAAACACAAAAATTACATGTGGCAACTCAATTTTTTGTTGTTTCAAGTTTACATATTAAAAAGCTAAATAATGTAGTTCCATAAATATCAAACCCCGTGAAATCAAATTCAGTTCCATTTTAGTCAACAAAAGGAAACTTTTAGGGCAATAACATATTTTGTTGTGTCAAAATTAGGTTGCTTTCACTTGCTTGTTTACTTTGTCATATTGAATGGTGATTGAAGGCAGCTTCATTCAGAATTTAAGAGGACAATCTAGATAATTTGATCATGAGCATTAGATTAAGTAATCTAGAGGCTAAGTAGCACAAATGCAGATACGAGATGCGATGAATACAGACACATTAATTGCTGAAAGAGAGAAACAAAAAAACATAGAGTGGATATGTATACATCTATTAGTAAGACCTTTATTAAACTTTAGTTTATCCTTAACCTTTATATTAAAAGTTGCACAATTTTGAAGATGAAACCATGCAAATATTGGAAGGATTTATAATACTTCTACTTTGTCGCTTCGATTATATTTTTATCTTCTACGGAAACAGGTAATTGCATGCTTGACTTGTAGTAACCATGTGTACAATGTCAATTTTTAACCTACTTTGTCATTACAATTATTTTGAAGATTTTTGGATATGGTTACCCTTAAGTGAGTTTTCATTATACAAAACTTGTGTGTTTTGAAAGTGTCAACACAAACTTAAAAAATCAAAAATTATTTTTAAATTATGAACACATCTGTAATAATTCAATTCTAATGCGTATTAAGTCACAAACAAACAAAGAGAGAGAGAGAGAGAATTCTGCAGTTATAATCCATGATTATACATTACTGTCGAGGAAATGTAAAAGGGAAACCCTAAAATATAAACAAAAAGGAAATGACAAATCCAACATTAAGAAGTAAATATACTCACCCCTAACACCCTCTGTCAATCTCACAATGGAAGAAACATTGACTAATAGTCTAGTAGAACTTAAAAATTAATAGTGTGACTCTGAAAAAAGAAATTAACTAAATGAGATGAGAAAAAATGTTGAAGATAATAGTGTCACAAAAATGATGTGGCACACACTGGCAAGTCACTTGCTGAGAGTTCTGTACAATCTAAATAGCACTCTGAATATAAAAAAAAACATCATAACGGGATCACAAAGAAAAAAATAAAAAAATAAAAAAAATAACTAGTGTAGCTCCAAACTAGCTCAGCAATAGTAGTTGACATTGTTTGATATTCAACCCTTCACCTGGGATCAAAGAGTCCCAAAAGACACAGAAAAAGTCACTCTTTTGGTTCCAAACAATTCCTTTGTTGAAGAATAATCTTGAATAATCAAATAAAATGTCTTTGGGATTTGTTAGCATCATCCAATATATTACATCACCATCCACCAACTAAACTCCCTAATTGAGCTAACATCACCGTCCTAATATCTCTGATTTTGTTGACATTGACATACACCAAAAAGTACATTGATCTTTAAAAATGAATTTACTGATAATTACAAAAATAAAAACCAATATAAGTTGGGGGAAAAGTTACTTTCACGTAGGCATCGTCTTCTAAGTTGAAAATTATACGACCATCAATCTCTGCCTGGGTGAAATGATGTTTAGCTTTAACAAGTTCATCCTTCCTGTGCCAATTGAAATCAAAAATTAAAATAAAAAACAATAACAAAAAAGAGAACAAGCAAGCGTTGAAAATATGATTTTTCTTTACTAAAGTTCAAAAAAAATGCAAACACCCACAATATTGCCCCAGGCAGGACTCACCACTCGACCTCCCCTTTGAAGTAGAGATTGATATCATTTGGACTATGCATAAAGATGTAGAAAACCATCGATATATCAAGTAGATCACAAACTTACCCTTTACAGCTTTTAGATCCAGCAATCTCTTTTTCTTTCTTCTGTAATTCAAAAGATTCATCATATTATACAACTAAAAAAAAACTCTCAAATCCTTAATACACAAATAACAATATGACATAATTATGTATGTATGTGTATGCATATATAGATAAATATATACAATATATGGTTGAAAGCTAACAATTCCGGCGTAGCGATGAGGCCACCTCTGCCGAGCTTCATCTTCGGGGACTGGTTCGCCGATGAACCTACTCTCTTCTTCACCGACACTTTTCTTCTCTTTTTTATCGACACCTCTCTTCGACTTCTTTGAAGGGCTCGATCTTGGAGGGCTTTCGATCAAAACCGCCTCCTCAGTCTCTAACGTCTCTGAAGCCTTTAATCTTTTCGACTTCCTCGAGCTCTCATTTTTCTCGAGACTTCTCTTTGAATTGTTTGAAGAAGCCGAGCTTGGAGGGCTTTTGATCAAAACCCCTTCTTCAATCTGTACAGTCTCCGCCTTTGAACTTTTCGTCCTTGACGAGGCCTTTCGTTTCATCGGCATTTGTGGTGACCAGAGAGTTGAGGAACGAAGAGTTGATAGGGTGTTGGAGGGATGAGGAAAATGTAGGTTTTGCAGCCGCTAAATCGAATGTGCGTGTTCTTGTGTGTGTCTATATACGCAGGGCGAGGGCAAAAGTTTTGAAGAGTGGGTGGGCGGGAAGCGAAATTTTAGAGGGTTTGGTGAAGTTGGATTTGAACGTTGGGCTTAATTTACGGGCATGTGATCGGTGGGAACCTGGACTGTTTGGTTATGTTACTTCAGGGTTCAAAATGAGATGGGATGGGCCGGGCCAGTTTTTGCAACCCAGGCCTGAGCCCGCAGGCTTTGGGATACCGGGCTGGGAACTTGGCACAAACTTCAAATAGATTTTGATACTAATCTTGAAATGAACTTTATTCGGGTCGGACTCATGGTTACATTAGTTTATTAGCATACTTTTTGGAAGAAAAAAAAAATCACTAATTTGCATGAAATGATAAAATGAGAACTCATAATGAATAAAAAAATTGAATTTTCATCGATTAAATTATAACTTTGATATTGAGTGAGGTTTTGCATCATTATATTCAAACTATTGGTACTAGGGATGCACAAAAAATTAATGTGATCAACGTATTTATTCAAATTAAAGTAGACTGTACGGTTTGATTCGATATGATCTAAATTGCTAGCTATTTTGAAGGATGGTTGAATTTAATAAATAAATAAAAATAGATGGTTTAACTTATCATATACTAATATTTCATTTTATTCACCAGGTGCATATATCAAATATCAAGCACATATAAATGAGCAGTAGAGTTATCTTTCAGTCAAATTTTCAAGAAAAACACATCGTACCTTACTTTGCTTGAGCTCTTTATCAGCATATACCCAAGTGGAGCCAAGAAAGATCTATGAAATTTGGTTTCAAGTGGAAGGATTCTTAACACTGATAGAATTTATATCACGCCACCAAATAATATGAAAAAATAATAATTATTACAAAATAAAAAATCATTATTTACTACATGTACCTTAAGGTTAATGCAATTACTTTATGAATTAAAAAAATATATATTACTTTATTTGCTACAAAAAATATATATATATAGTTTAATAATTAATATTCGAATTAAAGTTCAAACAAAGTCAAAAGGTTGCAACAACGTCAAGTTTATATTTGAATGTCTAGAAACTAATTTAGCATCATTCTCACGGTCAATGCTAACTAGTTGTTTTTATGGATATAAAACAATTATATATAAATAACAATATGATAATTCCTTTTTTTTTCTTCTAAATCTTAATGGTTTTTGGAACATTTTTCTTTTTAGCTTTTAGTTGAGTATTTTTCTTCTCTTTCTTTCCATTTTCTTTTTAGGATAAATTACATTAACCTTCTGTAAAGTTTTGACAAATTACACACAAATAGACAATTAGCATTTATTACTTTGAGTCTTTGACCTATTTGATTTTTTTTTTTTTTTTTTGTTAGATCTCTCACCAAATTTTATAAAATAACAACTTTTTTCATTTCCTTGTATGAAAAGACAATAATAGTTTTATGTATATGAAGTATTACATAGCCAATATTCGCACTTAATTTTTATACTATTGCACTCAAATCTTAAAAGAAATGACACCTCTAACTCTAACTTTAAAAATTAATAATTATTTTTTTTCAAATACCACAACTATCCTTTTCAGTTATGGTAAAATATTTGTGTTCCCTTCTTTTCTCTCTCGTTAGGGTTTGATTTTGATATTGATATTTGTGAGTAATAATGAAAGATTTCACAAATGAAGAAATAACATACATGAACAATGTAATTTATCTTCCCAGCATAAAAAAAAAAAAATTGAATAACACTATTAAAACTTCACAAACATTAAACTCCCTTTGATGATAATAGTGATATTGGGAATGGTAATTTGTTTCTTTTATTTATTTTTTTTTGTTTTATGCTTTGAGTTTACTTTTGGAAATTTTTTTCTTGAAGTAACTTTTAAGAATTAATTTGGATGGTGGGAATCGTTTTTTTTTTTTTTTTAAGAAAATTATTTTCTATTATATGCTTTGAGTTTAGTTTGATTTTTTCTTCCTGGATGTGATTTTTAAGAATTAATTTAGAATTTATTTAAATATTTAAGTCTACCTTGTACTTGTTGATAAATAAATTCTTAACTCTTTTAACAATAAAATTAAAAGACTAGAGTTTTTGTGACAAGAGTAAATAAAGTAAGAATAAAAAGTTTACAGTGAAAAGAGTATATATGATATTGTAAATGAGAGACTATGTATTAATGAGCTAAATGATATTCTTGTCAAAAATTTGTTTAAAGAAAAAAAAAAAAAAAAAAAAAAAAAAAAAAAAAAAAAAAAAAAGTGAAATGCAGTTGAAAGTAGATTGCAAATATAGTCTTCTAATATTATAATATAAAGACATTCTTAACTTTTTATGTCCTAAGTATTTTTCGGCCTCCAATAAACAAATTTAGGAAAGATCAAAGTGAAGAGTATTCGTGTGTAATTTTTATAAAATATGAAGAGAGGTTATTGCAATTTATATGTTTTTTACTAGTGGCATGGTTGGTTTGGTGAAAGAATCGAAAAGGAAAGGGTGAGATTCCAGAGAGACGAGATTCTTCCACTAAAGCGTGGTATCTGCTAGGGCTGTCCCCCATCTGCCATCGCACGGTGGGGATTAGAGGAAAGGGTGGGGATTAGAGGAGAGGGTGCAAGAACACAGACTCCGAGCATAAGAATAACTCGATGACTTGAATAACATGGTACTTATTTTTATCTATCACATAAGATGTGTTTAGTAGGGTTGATTTGTAGAAACCGGGAGAGAAAAGAAAATAAAGGATAATATGAAAATGTGTTTGGGTAGCTTAAATATAGGAAAAAAAGATGATAGGGAGGGATAATAAGTTGTACATTTAATTCCATTTATGTTTCAATTGTTGAGTAGTCTTGGTCTCTGTTAAGTATTTTGTACACATTAAATTGTTAACTTGAGCTATGCATTCAAGTCAATTCAAAGTTCTCATTTATTTTGCTTTTTGTTGTTTGTGGAGAGGCCTCATAAAATAAAATAAAACAATAAAATTGATTATCACTTTACCATAGAAATGTGAAATTTGGATAGAGACATTTAACCCATGCAGATGCTTAAGACATTTAACTCTACTTTCAACTTAAAAAGAAAAAAGAAAAAGGTGTAGGGTGATGACTATAATAAAGGGTATGACAATAATTTGGTTACTATTCTTTTTTTTATCTTCTCTCCTTTATCTTATCCAAATAAGAATAATTATCATTTCATTTATTTTCTCCTCTATCTATCCAAACACGAATGTAAATTATTATTATCCTTTCTTTTTCTTTTATCTTCTCTCTTAATTAATACTATTTTTTATTTTCTTTTCTCTCCTATTTATCAAAACACACCTATAATGTTCATGAACTTCATTATGTTTTTAAAAGTAATTTCACACTTATATCAATATTAAGAAGCGCACAATACAAAACCACATCCTTCACTATAGTTTTGATTAGCAAAAGAAAAACTATTTCACACGGCAATTTGACCTAAAAATGACTAAACCACATCCTTCACTATAGTTTTGATTAGCAAAAGAAAAACTATTTCACACGGCAATTTGACCTAAAAATGACTTTTTAAAGATCAGTTTGGCAATCACTACTCTTTCGAGTTTTTTTGTAGTAAAGTAAAACACCGAAATGTAATGCGTTGGAAAAAAAAAAAAAATGTTGCGATTTGAATAGTGTCATGTATGTTATCAAGAAGAGGCTCAAACTGAAAATAAAAAATTATTGTTTAGGCACTGTAACAAAACACTCCAACAGTGAACAGTACCAAAATAAAATAAAAAAAAAATTTAAAATTTAAATGACCATTTTTTAACTGGTCATTTTGTATCTGAAATTCATACAATAAAATTTATATTACTAAACATATTTTCGACCTCTATTAAATACACTCTATAAAATATACATTATTTTATTATTGAGTTAAAACAAGACGTAAAACGAAAAATATTGCTTACTTGCCTTGGCAAAATCATATAAGGGAGTACCTTCATCTGCTCCTCCACTTAAATTTGGATGAGCAATAATTACGATTATGATTATTTTATTTTTACTAATTAATTAAAACATCATGTGACCATACATGAATTGGAGATTCCATTACCCTATTATACTCCAAGTGACCACATTTTCTCAATATCCAAACAGCAATAATACACATATAGATGGTGTTTTGATAGTCTCGGTCGAGGCGTGAACTATAAAATAGTCAAACCCCACATGCGTGCCCAAAGGACCCAACCACGACCACAACGCGGTTTCAACGTTAATCAATTAAAAATTGACAAAACAGCTGTATATTTATGAATTGAAAATTTGATGGAAACACTTAACACAGCTGCGACATTATTCATTACATAATGGTATCGTTATCAGATCTATAAAGTCAAATCCACCCAATTTATCACCATCTTTTCCTTCAAACTTCAGATCAAAAACTGCACTTTTTTCTCTACCTAAAAACCAGACGAGCACTAAACACAGTTTGTTTTTCGTTTGAAATCTGAGCAGTCCATCTTAGAAAAACATGCTATTCTAGCTTTGTTTTCGGATTTATATTTCTGGTTTTTTTTTTTTTTTTTCTAAATCTGGAAATATAAATATATTTTGGGTGTTGGGTACTTTTTCTAAAGATGGAAAGTTCAAGAAGCAGGACGGCAGAGAAGAGAGGGTATGAAGAAAGTACGGAGGATCAAGAAGGTGTGATACCCCAGTCGAAGAAGCCGAAATTGCCGGGTTTGGCTAGGTTTGTTCCTTAATTTATACCGATAATTTTTTCTCTCTCCCATTTTCTGGTTTTTGGTCAAAGGTATTCTTAGATTGGATTTATTTTTCTCTTAATTATTGGCTATGTACTAGGAATGTGATAACCTTTAAATTATCTCTGTCTCTGTCTCTGTCTATATCTCTATATTGGTATTGTAGCTGTGATTCTTCTGATGAAGTTCAAGAATCAATTTCATTGATTGGGCACCAAACTGGATTTGAGGAAGTGCCAAGTGGATTAGTTGATGAAGCTGGTTCTTGACTAAATTCAGTACACTATGATATATTCTGTTGTTATGGTTTGTCACTTTCTTCCTTTATCCTCTCAAAATGAGGATATTGTTAGCATGATTAGTTTAGTAAACTAAATATTCTATTTGCTAGTGACACTGATTCTTCTTACTTTTGGTGGCATCGTTTTTCCCCCCAAAACATACGGACAATATCTTATGGTTATGTGCTATGATATAGTTTAGTTCTTCTCTGATAACTTAGATGCTGGGAAGGTCATTACCAAGAGACTATTAAAATGGAAAGAGTGCGTACCTTACTGCAATTTTTTTTATGCTAATAGGTCCAATACTGACTACAAAAGTTCATTCACCCAATGCTGATACCACATTTCTTTGTGGTCTCATTGACATGGAGTTACCAATGCCCCATGAATTTGTGAAAGGATACAGTTAGCATAAGATGGTGCAAATGGGTCGGATGAGGGGCGAATTATTTTGACTTAATTGACCAAATTGAATGTATTTGAGCCTTTATGAGTTTTTAATCCACTTAAACTTCTAGATATTTTGATTCAATGTTGAACTTCACTACTTTCTGCATTATATTGCTCTTATCTTTTTAATACTCTCTATGCAAGTTTTCAACATCAATCTTTTTCGGTCCGCTTAATGTATTATGGTTTAATTTTGTCAGTGTGATTGTGGAAGCTTTGAAGGTGGATAGTTTGCAAAGACTTTGTTCATCTTTGGAGCCTCTATTCCGCAGAATCGTAAGTCATCATATAACTGCATATAATGTGGGCTTATTGCTTTGTTACCCATTGAGGGTCAGTCTCTTTTAAGACATGTTTATCATTTTGAATGTCTTTTATCTTGTCTCTTCATACTTCTCCCGTGATTATTTTACACATGTACACAAGGAAGTTGTAGCTAAACCAAAAACATTTGGGCTGTCTTTACAGTCATACACATCAGTTTTAGTTTGTTTGTGAAGATCTTTTTCGATCTGTTATTATCTAGAGTCACGTGTAAATTACTGTTTAGCATTTAGTGAGGTCTCCCACTTTTGTTTATGCTGCATTATTTTTACTTATTGAACAGGTAAGTGAAGAAGTGGAGCGTGCTTTGACAAAATTAGGCCATGCTCAGCTGGCTGGGAGGTGTGTTCCTATATTTATGTTCAGAGCCGGCAATTTACATTTATATTTGTTCCTGTCATTGATCTCTATAAAGGCGATATAGATTTTGATGGAGTAAAACAATATTTCTGTGACTTTACTCATTTATACTGTTAATTAAGTTTATTAGTAAGTCAGAGACCTTGGAAGTTTTTTTTTTTTTTTCATTGGCGAAACCTTAGAAGTTGGCTTATGAAATTTAAGGAAAATTTGCTTTATTCTGAAACTTTATATAATGTCAAATAATCAACATTCTACAATATGTCACGTAATTAAAGCTAATGCTCATGGTTTCCATATTCTTCTGTCTTCTTTTTGGCCCATTGGAATACTGCACCTCTTGAAGGGGTTGAAAGACCCAAATCCAGAACTAGACTTCTTCTTTATTTATTTTATTTATTCTTTTATTTTTTGGTGGGTGGGTGAAGGAAAGTGGAGTGCCTAAACCCTTCCCTTAGTTGACAGCAATTGCAAATCTGATCCTCTGCATGCTACTTGAAGTTTACTAATGCATCTACCTTTTAGTATCAACTGGTTAACATCTCTGTGAATTGTGAATTTATGACTCAACTGCATCTTTCTCTGACAGGTCTTCACCACTGAGAATACAAGGTCCAGAGGGAAAGAATTTGCAGCTTCATTTCAAGACAAGGATGCCACCTCACCTATTCACTGGGGCAAAGGTGGAGGGAGAGCAAGGAGCAGCAATCCATGTTGTCTTGCTAGATGCCAGCACAGGCAATGTCGTGCATACTGGACCAGAATCAGCAGCCAAACTGAATGTGGTGGTTCTTGAAGGTGACTTCAGTGAGGAAGCTGATGATGATTGGACCAAAGAGCATTTTGAGAGCCATGAAGTAAAGGAGCGTGAGGGCAAAAGGCCACTTCTGACTGGGGATCTACATGTAATCCTCAAGGATGGGGTAGGAACTCTTGGAGATCTTACTTTCACTGATAATTCAAGCTGGATAAGGAGCAGAAAATTTAGGCTTGGTATGAAGGTTGCTCCTGGATACTGTGAGGAGACTCGTGTTCGTGAGGCTAAAACAGAGGCTTTTGCAGTTAAAGATCACAGGGGAGAATGTAAGTTCTCCAACACTGGCTACTTGTTTATTTAGGTTTGGTATGTGGCAGTCTTTTATTGCTTTTTGCAGTGACAGATAAATAAAAGTTGTAGAAGCCACCAGACATATCCCTTACTTCTCATCGAGGTACACATCCTTGTTTTGTATGTCACTGCGAGCTACAACTACGGACTGTCATTAGTCATGAGAATAAATGTTGTGTTCCAATGCTCATGGCATGAGTACAAAGCCAGTATTGTCATGCCTTTTAGCCTGTAGGGTTACCTTTTTCCTACAATTGTTACAGTTTCCAACCTGTTGTTAATTCACATCTGGCCACAGGCCCACATCATATTAATTCAGGGGTGCTGTTCTTGTTTAACCAATGCCTAGCGGTACCAAGCCCCTACTTGCCAAAGGAGGTAAGGGGTTCGAATCTCGGTGGAGGCATGTGTGTGTGAGTACCAACTAGGAAAAAAAAAAAAGCAGAAAAGATCTGTTACTAAGATGCCTCTCCCCTTTATCGCTGAAATGAAGACAAGGCCTATATGCACCTGCTTGTTGAACACAATGGAACCTGGTGACTGAAATGATTGTAGAGACATAACAACCACCTAGTTGTAAATATCTGATTCTGGCTGGTTTTGCTGGAAAGTTTTTGTGATCCTAAGATTTGATACCTTATGATGGTGTGTTGGCCTAGGAGACTCCTATTTTGAAACCATTAAGTAGTAGGTCTAACCTCTTTGCTAGTCATGTGTACAGCAGAAGTGGAGGAAAGATCTATAAAGCAACCAAATAAATTAACATTTCTTTATCAAGTATGGAGACACTTGAAACAAGCGGAGTGGTTACACGGAGCTATTAATTTGCATCAAGAAGCTGTTGGATTTAACTGCAAAGCTTGATTCCGCTGATTTAGTACACAGCATTATTCACCTTAAATGAGCAAATAAAACACAACAGAATGTGGATAGGAAGTGCAGGAGAATATGATATTGGTAATTTGATAGAAGCTTCCAAAAAAGTGTATTGGAAAATAGCAAAAACATCATCTATTTGAGTTTTGACAGATCGGTGACAACTTCTAAGACAAATTATTCCTCAAATTTCTAACAAAGTTGTATATACCAATCATCAACATGGATTGTTAGGACCCATTACATACAAGTTAAGATTCTTGAACTGTTTCAAAATTTAAATTCATATTTGGGAAAATCAATATTCTTCCTCTTTTTCTGAATTTTCAATATTAAAGTCAGTCCACTTTGATTATCTGTTAAGGTTTACTGAACTTGAGTTTATTATATATCACCACTCACACTCACACTCACACTCACTCACTGCAACGTGTTTATCTGACCTTCTGATGTGCGTGTTTCCTTACTAATAAGGTATAAGTCATACAACTAGGACATGTTAATTTGAGAAAATTTATCTATTGTCAGGCTTTGTGGTTATAAAGTTAAATTTTGAACTTTTTCTGTTATTTTGCAGTGTACAAAAAACATTACCCACCAGCTTTGCATGATGAAGTTTGGCGATTGGATAGAATAGCAAAGGATGGAGCACTACATAAAAAACTGATAAAGGCTGAAATCATAACCGTCGAAGATTTCCTCAGGGTTCTTGTTAGGGATCAACAGAGATTAAGAAATGTATGGGCTTTCTATTTTTCTAATTATTTCCTTTTTTATTTTTATTGTTGGTGTTTGAAGAATATTATTTTCTTAACCTTCATATTAGTTCTTTTTCAGAGAAGCTTTTCTTCATTTTTCTCTCATGTGATGTTTACTGTGTAGATTCTTGGGAGTGGTATGTCCAATCGGATGTGGGAGAATACAGTCGAGCATGCCAAGACATGTGTTTTAGGTGAGAAGCTCTATGTTTACTATGCAGATGGAACTCATAGCACCGGTGCTGTATTTAACGATATATACGAGCTAAGAGGCCTTATAGCAGATGGGCAGTTCTTTCCTTTGGAATCACTTAGCCACAATCAAAAGGTCAGAGGTTCCTTCTTGTCAGATTAAGATCATTATATCTACTCTGTGATTAAGCAAATTACACTAGATTGACTTTTACATTTTTCTCGAGCATTGTCTAATTTTCTGAAGATCCTGGAAAAGAAATGAAAAGAACATGGACTCTTCTAACATTTTTTTGCTGGATTGGTATATTCTAGGATACACTGACTTTTGAAAAGTAGGCGAAGTACCTGTGTTGGACACACAATACTTGGATATGGGTATGGGATATGTTAAACATTTTGGGTTGGACATGCACCTAAAAAGCATCTCAAATTATTCAATTTTATGATACTATTGCTTCACAACTGGTGAAATGTCTATATTGCACATTATCTTACATAAAGTCATTATTTTATTTCAGAAATTTATATAAAAATAATTTGAATATTTAGCAGTATCCCTGTTTCTTTTAATTTGGAAATTTGACACATCTAATGCTTTGATACATATCTCCACCCGTCACATGTATCCGAGTCCGTGTAAAATAGTATATGTTTAGGAATGTGCCCAACAATGTAATCCAACTCTCACAGTACTTGCTCTTTCACCATTCAAGCGCCAAAATTTAGTCCACCACAAGGGATCTAAATTAGATGTATTTGATCAATAATGTTGGAAAACATCGGGCTGACTGGAAGCCATTATACAAATTATAAAAATAAAATTGTAGCACATGGTGTGGAGTTAATTTTTTTAATAAAAAAAAGAAATGTATTATTTGATTTCATCTCTCTCACTGTTACCTAATTTTTGTGATTGATTCCTCTTAAGATATTTCTAATTATATATAATACAGTCACTACTCTTTTTCCGCATTGGAGACCGTCTTTTGGGATGCTGTAGGTAGAGAATGAACTGCTTGCATATGCTTTCTGCTTGTAGCACAACTCCTTAACATATGTGATTAACAATTAAAATGAATTAAATTCTATCAGTAGAGGCCATTGTTTAGTGTAGTGGTAAGGTTTTTGGGCTGTGAAGTGTGGCAATGTGGCTTCTAGTTGGAGGACAATCACTTTTTACATATAATGCTATCTATTAAGCCTGTACCAAGTCCACTCCTCGTGACACCCTCTACTAAGAGGGACCTACACATTGCTTTTTCATATAAAGTATGTTAAACTTCTGTTACGCTACTTGGTAATTGTTAAAGTGGACCTTATGTAAAGCTACACTAGCTGACTCAATTTGGTTTTGTGTTTACAGATTTCAGTCGATTTGCTGGTGAAGAGAGCATATGACAATTGGAATCAAGTTGTTGAATATGATGGTAAAGTCCTAAGCTCGCTTAGCAAGAAGCATGGAACAAGAGCCTCAGCTGCACCTATTGCTGACCATAGCCTTGTCATAGATCATTATTCTACAGCTGCACAGAACAAGCAGCAGTATGTCTCCTCTGAACTGAGCCCACAATTCCAAAACAAAAATAACAACCCATCAGTCACTCAGTTGATTGAATTCCCATTTATAAGGTCTGATTCAATGGCGGGAATGATGTTCAATACTCCACAAGCAGCATTACCTAGCAGCACAGATTACGGGTCAGTTGGAATGTCCACAATGGGTGGTTCTTATCTTCCAGGAGAATGGTCTCGGCCAAGGAATGGGCAGGGGCTAGAGGATTTTTACTCACAGGAAATTCGGCTGAGGAGTTCAGAGATGTTGGAGAGTGATGATATGCAGAGACTGCTAAAGACGTTTGGCGTGGGTGTTGGAGTTGGAATGGGGTCTGGTTTTGACCATTCTGATGAGTCTTGTTACTCTTACGATGTTCCATATGAGAATCAGGTGGACCAGACATATGGGCAGGAGATTGGCCGAAGTTCAGGAAAGGCTGTTGTGGGATGGCTTAAGCTAAAAGCCGCTCTAAGATGGGGGATATTTGTAAGAAAGAAAGCTGCAGAGAGGAGAGCTCAGCTTGTTGAACTTGACTAAGATGATCACTTGGATCAATCTTGACCTTGGGGTCTGAAAGAACTTGCTTTTAGTGCCTCTATAATTCTGTTTGACTGCTTAGAAATCATGGGAAAGGAAAATAAAAGGACTTGAAACCTAGGCATTACTCACCTATTAAAGATTTCCGAGTTTTCTTTTCTTTCCTTTCCTCCGACTTCTTGTTTTTGGGCATGAAAGGTAAAACAGAGAAGAGTACAGAGACGAAGAAATATGCCTGTACCATATATCAATGTTGAAGGTTTTGACTTCGCTTCTTGATACAATGGAAGTGTTGCTTGTATTAATATTATTATTATTTTTTTCTTTTCATTTATTTGGTGAAAACCCTGTTATATAGATCTCTCTTGTGTCCGTGGTTATCTATTTAGTATTTTCTCAATAATAAAGGATTATATTATATATATAAAAGAGCAGCACATTATCCATGTATTCAAATGGAATGTTTTGTCAAGGATGGATGGGTTAGATCAAAACTCAATTGTACATCACAATATCTCTCTGTTGATCATGCTATTTATAGTTTGACTGTGATGCCATCAATCGCTACATTATTCTCTACATGGTGCCACCTCCATGAAAATTCCGGATATTACCAAGGGATAAATTTATGTGGTTTCATGGGTTTTTTTAGTTTTATGAAAATTGATATAATTTATTCTGAAATATGAAACTATTTCAGTGTCAAGTGGTGATTCAAAGGCGGATAAGTGCTCGGATTGCCATGGGATACACCTAAACGTCTTTGAAACAAATCGAGCATTAACATTATAAGAAATTATGCCATTGCAGGTGCTGATAGTAGCAACTCTACATTTCAAGTTTGTTAATAGCAAATGCTAACACACTTCTCTTATAGAAATACTTTGCTCGAAATTGAACTTTTGGTTCCCCAATTCAAACTTTGAATCAACAAATACATCGACTGAATTTATTAAAAATTTAACACCAATGTAAGCAATCAATGTATCTTATATTAAGTGTGATTTCAGCTAGGGAAAATTATATTTTGGTGACCAAAATTAAATATAATTGCTCTATAGTGACCTTAAAGTCAAGAAAAGGTGAATAGTGACCAATGTTGAAACTTAATTGATATTAAGCGACCATTTAATGGTTTATTACCTAAATAGCCTTCTTATAATATATTATTATGTAAGTGAACAAATTTACCCTCAACATTAACCTAAATAAACACTTACTCAAATTAACTAACAAAAAGACAGACATATTATTAGGGTGAGTCTCTGAAGAGAAGACCAAGATGGGAGAGAAGAGGATTGATGTTTTACATCGTTTTCTTCAAGGTTCTAAGAGGCAGGATGAGAATATTGTAAATTTTCTTCTTATTCATTATTTTCAAGGTATAGTTATTATACTTTACGAGTTGATTTGTCTGAGAGATCTTACTTAAGATATAAGATTGTAATTTTTATGAATTTTTTAATACTACTTAGTTATAGTTTAAGAAATAATGACAATTGTTGATTAATTTTATAATTTTGCAAACTGTTAATGGGTATTTCAAAAGTATGATTTGCCACTGTAAATATTATGAACATTCATAGTGGAGAACCTTGAAAAATAGATAAAGGGTGGAAAAGAGATAATGTTGATAAAAAAATCTTAATTTTTAAAATAGGTAAATTGTAAACTACAAAGGAAAAAAGAAAACCTTGGATTAGAGAGAGAGAGTAGAAGGATGAATTCAATAACTTATTGTTTGTATTTGATGGCAGTTTTGTCATCTAAAATTTATTTTTAAAATGTTTATCAAACCTTTAAAAGTATTTTTGACCAAATTATTCTCAAATGGCCACTTAATATTAATTAAATTTCAACATTAGTCACTATTTACATTTTTTTGACTTTAAAATCACTATCGAGCAATTATATTTAATTCTGGTCATCAAAATATAATTTTCCCTGTGAAAAAAAATCGTTTCTAGCATGGTAGAAGCTTTACTATTTTCGCAGTCACGCGCCAAAATAGGGAGTAATAAACACTATTCGAGTATATGGCAGACCAAACTTCAATCACATGGCAACACTAACTAAAGATAGGTTAAAGCTATCAGCAACATAATTTAAGGTCTTATCACTCCCAAAAATAAAAAATAAAAAATGTTTCAAATGCATTTTATTTGGTTAGGGAAGCACTACAAAACAAAAATAGAATAATTCCCTCAAGACTTTGAGATATTTTGGTGGCATTGTTCCACCAAGACGACAAAGTGGTTGTTCAGACATTTAAAAACCTAAGTAGAAACAAACTTGGCATTAGCAACTGCAACCATGAAAATTAGAACTTTGGAAACAGGGGATAAATTTTTCTCGAGGATACACAAGCAAAATACAGAAGAAATTACATTTGGCACAAACTCCTCATCCTCATGGAATAACTTATGCAGACCGGCCCTTTCTCTTCTCTACATATTATCAGCTACCGTGTTTCATATACTTGACCCAAAAGAATATGCATCATATCCAAATTCTCCATCCATTAACATCGTCCTCTGTTCCTGCACCAAACACTCTTACATCTTTTAAAACATGCTCGGTATGAAAACGAAAAGGATAATGGTATAAATAGAGGGATACTACAAGGATTTTGCTTTATGGTCAGTCTAACAGGTTTCCTTGCAATTACATGATTACATTCATATATCATGCGTAAAAAGGAAGTTTACTCCGATGAAGAAGTAAAAATCTGTAAATTCCCTCCAAATGGCCACAAAAAAAGCTGATAACTGACATTTATATTCGCAACTTTCACTAGAGTAGTTAAAGGATTTGAACTCAGTTCCTTTCCTTTCTTAAAATTGTAGGATGTTTAAGTAACTACCACTGGCATTCACCCACATGGTACACAAATTTATTTGAATCCTCAAATTTAAGTATAGCATAAGTAACTGAAGTAAATGCACAAAGAGGAAATGATGGCAAGACATCTCTCAACAAAAGGAGCTGAAGAAGAAAGAAAGAACACAAACACTCTTTTTTTTTTTTTTTTTCCTTCTATGGATGTTATGCTTCTATGATCTCACTTATTATCAATCATACATAATGAAGTTACTAATTATTGAAGCACTGCAACAAGAAAGCGCCAACTTCACTATAAACTAGGAAAGTATTTCTATTAGATATCAGTAATATATCTTACAGTTGCAAAAAAAAAAAAAAAAAATTGTGATTTTTCAGCTTATATAGAATTTGAGAAGTTTAGGAGTCACTTTTGCTCGGAGGGGAGACATGGGCGGTGTTTAATCTTCAAACAAAATTCAAGAACACCAAATATTTCTACTCAATTTTAATGCCTTAGTGATCTTGAGGTCATAAATGCTTATATAGAAACTAAGTCGTAATTTAGGGAAACTGAAACATACTATGCTAGATATAGTGTCATACCCGTTTGATCATTGCATTCATTAGAACATCCAAGGAGTCATAGCTTTGAGGAACAAAAGCACCCTGCGACTTTGTTTGATCTACAAGGTAGTCCTGGTTCAGCCTCATCTTTGAGCCCATAGTTGATTTCTCAACCTCGCAATGCTGCATTAGAGTTGAAGTGCTGCTATTTGACAGGCCAACAAAAGACGCATCCATCTTTCTACTACAGTTATTTCGATCCAAACTCTGGCTCAAGTGACCCACGACTGCACTGGAAGGAACCATAGACTTTGAGGAGCTGAAAATATGATTTGAGTTGTAGGTGTAATCCTGTTTATGTTCTTCCCACCTTTGATTTGATGCTCGGTTCATATTCTGAACAATATCACCAACCAAACCTGCTTGGGATTGCATCTCTCCTCTTGAATCCTCCAGAGGTGCAGAAACTGTACAGGTAGAAGAAAAATCAAGCGGTCTGTTCTGGATATGAGGACCACTTGTGGAAGCATTTTCTCTCAAGCGATCAGACAACTGATTATGATTGAAAGCTTCATTCAGTGGCAAAGAATTTGGTGGAAATTTCGATAGTTGAATGCCATTCTGCCAGTTCTCATTATATCTACCATGATCCCGAAAGTTAGAGGAACCACTGACACCAATGTCAGAAGGCCCCGAGGCGAAAGAAGCCATATTGATATAAGACTGATCTCCAAATCCTCCCCCACTTTGTATTTGTTGTGAGTTCCCTTGTAGCATCAAAGGATTGTTAGAGGCACTGGGTAAAGAGTTGCTTGAGCTACCAACTGCAATTCTGGTGTTCGTCAATGTATTAGCAGCAACAAAATTAGTTGGATTATTAATAGAATTGAACTCTTGAATGCCAGTAGTGCGATTGTTCTGTTGCAACTGGTCAAGTTCCAGTGATGAAGGGATCCCTTGAAATGAACTTGTGTTTTGGTTATCAGGTGAAACAAGAGGCTGGAACTTCTCAAGGGTATTGATGGAGTTGCTAAAGTTTTGGGCATGACTTGGTTGGATCAATGCAGAGGAAGTGAGGCTACGAAGGCTCACAGCAGCAGGGGTATTAAATCTACCAAGCATCCCACTTGCTGGATACGATGATAAGGCAGTGTTCGGAAGCCTTCCTGACCCAGACAATGTTCGAAAATCTCCGAGTCCATCTAGAGAACCAATGCGCATATAAGAGGAATCCTTACCTCCTAATGCAGCAACCATGTTAGCTTGTTGGCTTGCCACAGAACTCATTCTTTTCAGGTAAATCCTATATTTCTGCAACACATTACAAAACAATAATAACCTTAAAGGTGACCATCATGACAATATTCTCTCAACTAATCCCCCTTTTACACTTTATATAAAAGGGTAATTTCAGTCTCCACCGCCTAATTTACGAGGAGATTCTTTTTCATCAAATAGTTGGTTTCATTTTTTTTTTTTTTTTTTTTTTTGATTGGGTGGGATGGGGTCCATATAGCAGCTGCCTGTTGGAATGCTGCAAGACATGCATTTGTTTGTATCCAACATCTGCTGTCTTTCCATCAATAAAAATAATTATTGAATCATTCTAAAGTATTCTTGAAATTTTGCCAAAATTTTCACCTGCTGATTTTATAAACTTGACACTATTTACCACGGATATTCCCACAATAAAAATTATTTATGTGTTTGAAAATGTCCCAAATCCAAAATTTTCTGCTAAAACACAATTATTAAAGCCACATTGGATGTAAGAGAGGAAAATGGAACCTGGAGATGGCTTGCCACATTTTCCCTAGTAAGCCCTTCAGTGTTCATCAGGTCAAGAATCCTCTTAGGAACAGCTTCTGCATTATAAACAAGGAAGACAGAAGAAAAGAATGTTATTAAATAGACTAACCAAATATGAAATACAGAACAACAAATGATTTTCCTTAACGACTCACTTTCAATGCCCAATTGGTTAACAGCTGCAACAAACTTCCTGTGAAGCTCTATTGACCAAACAACCCTAGGCTTCTTCTGGGTTGATGGGTCCTCATTCTCGTGTCCATTATCTTCACTCTCGTCTTCCTCATCCTTCCTTTTTCTATTGGACCTACCATTCTGATCTAAATTGCCTGTCAGTGGAGGCCCTTGTCCACCTTCTCCACTTCCCTGGCGAGCCTTGTCTTCACTAGTGCATTTGTTTTGGTGCTTCGGGTCAAACTTCTTTCTCCTGATTACATGTTGCCATATGTTTCTGAGCTCTTCTATTCTAACTGGTTTCACCAAGTAGTCACAAGCACCATGAGTTATCCCTTTCATTACAAGTTTGGAATCACCGTTTGCCGACAACACTGGGACCATTACAAGACAGTAAAACAAAAGTTAAAATCTATCCGTGCCCTAAACCTAAATGAATTGTCATAAATTACCCATATTCTATATTCTAAGAGACTTCAACTAAGTTTGTCTTCATGTTTAAAAATTCAACCTCAAAAACATTACACATGGAAAATCACAATTGACAAAAAAGAAGGGCAAAATTAAGAAAATATCACTCTATATAAGAGATCAGGGAAGGGGTTTCGCTTACTGATGACAGGTAGGTCCATTTCTAGACCAACAAGCTCCAGGAGCTTAAAACCATCCATGTCTGGCATATGCACATCACTTATAACTAGGTCAAATCTATTTCTATTTTCTCTCAACATCTTCAATGCTGTTTTCGCCTGACTGGTTGTTGTAACTGCAGAAGCCAAAAAATCATTTTGAGAAGGTGACTTTTCATTAGAGCAATGTCCACATTATAATCAATATTCAATCTAAATCCATCCTATATGCAAAGTCATGAGTTTGGTGATAGGAACACTGCAGAACAGAATGCAATCCCTTGACAGATCTTCGATGGAGTGAACAGAAAACTCCGAACACCCCTTTTTCACTTCAACAGCCATTATGAACTACAAATTGAGGCCACATACCACCAATTAAAACACAAACTTCTTGAATCGATACAAACAATTGAACAAACATTTATCAGAATTCTGCAAAGCTACAAAGGTGAAACAAAAATCACAGTAAGCATACATTCTGAACCATATTTGTACAAAATTAAATCAGAATTAACGAAGCAAAATGGGATCCATTTTTCACATATCTGACAATTTCCAAGAAGCAAGACATTGGAAAACAAAATTTGATAGATTAAAAAAAAATTCATGACAATAATCCAAACCATGTACGGAATCAAATCAACAGACCTATTCAGAATTGATGGAACAGAACATCTACAGGGACAATTACTACAATTTCCGTTTAAATCCCAAGAAAACCCAATTGTGACAAAAATTCAACAAACAAAAACAACACATCTTTGATCAATCATAGACAAATGCTTATAAAGTGAAGAGAAGAAGCAAAGCAGAGAGGAATCAAACCCAGATACTGGCATTTCCGGAGCAGACCATCCAATAGCATCAAACAAGTGGGGTCATCGTCCACTGCAAGAACACGCATACCCACCGGAAATTTATCACTGTTCCTATTTTCACTCCCCAAACTTCCTCTGATTTCTTCTACAGTCATCTTTAGAACAACAATTACAAACACCCAGATGAGCACAGAGCCAGAAAAGGAGATCACAATTCACAGAGAAAAAAATTGGGTTTTGAGCAGCTTGGAGCTTTCTCAACAAACTCACAGGGGAAAGAACTCGAATGAAAGGAGATTCTTCGAAGAGAGTGTTTAGAGAGAGAGGGAGGGAGAAAGACTGGTTGTAGGAAGTAAAAGATGTACAAGTTGACAGTGATGGTGATAGCCAGAACAGAACGAATGGCTTCGACCCAACAATCCAGCAAATCCTGAAATAATTTGACTAATTACAAACTCCCCCCCTCTCTCTCTCTAAAAGTCTCTCCTCTGTATTTGTCTTTGCCCTTTTCTTCTACTCGCAGGGAGAAAAAACTTTTTCAATGTAATTAATATACACTTGTCTATATATATATAGAGTTATAAATAATACAGCATTTGTTTATAGCCTTCTTCTAGGAACCTTTTCCCTTCTCTCTCTGACTCTCTCTCTCTCTCTCATAAGGAGCCAGAAGCATGCATATTTGGAAGTGGAAGACCATCAGAAGTGATACTCTGTGTCTCTGTCCACCAGTAATTTCATACACCACACAAAGTTTTGCAATCTGGACCGTTCACGTGGCATAAAGTTTGGATTTTTGGAACAAGATTATCCATCTTGTACTCCAAACCAAATTCTCACCCTGCGATTATAGTTCAATAATCAGACGGCTGACAATACTCTGATGATGGATATGTGACCATATTATATAAATAATAGTATAACTCTAGAGTGGTGACCATTACTTTGCTTAATCATATGAAGTATGTAACTCAATGATTAGAAGGTTGTTTTTGGCTAAAAGAAGGGATTAGAAGGTTGTTTTGAAAATGTTACAGTTACATAATATGGCATGAATGATTAAAATGAAGTGACTCGTAAAGGTCATTTTATAGGGGTAATATTGTAAAATGAGGAAGGGTGAGACAAGTTCACTTGGAAAATCTACACAGAATCTGGTAATTATATAGGTTTAAATGCTAATGATTTTCACATGTTTCTTTTCATAGGAAGCTAAGCTAACCACTCCATTGTTTGATTAGGGAAGTGAGTAATTTAAGGCTCACTGTGACTCACCCATCCTCACCCATTAAATCAAGATGTTGACGTCCTCGGCCCTTCCATCAAACAATTTAAAATGTGAATCACACCATAAATTTATCGCATGATTATTCTAGAAACATAAAAAATAATTAATACTACATTTGATTAGAATGAATTTTCTTAAATTTTTTTTTTTTTTTAAAAAAATAGTATTCATACTGATCACTTACAATGAATTATTTAACAAAATAATTTTTAATGGTATAAATATACCAAATATAACTAGAGGACTCCATTTTCTTATTTGTTTCATTATTTACCAATTAAAAGAGTAGGTCTAGTAATTCATTGTAATTATTCAGTATAAGAATTATCTTCTTTAAAAAAAAATACCATTTCATAGTTAAGAATGCATGAAACTTATAACTAAGAAAGACACGTTATTGAAACTTTATAAATTTTATTGAGAGATCTTACACTAGAGCAGTAGTGAGAAACAAATGTAATAATGATTAGTGTCTGATAAAATTGAAAATCCTTTTTTCACGAAGAGGTGTGCATGTTTGATAATGTAATTTTAAATATGATTAAAAATAGTTATTGAAACATCATCTATCACTACATGTTTAAACGTTGAAAATTCAAAAGGTATAAAAAAAATATTATTTTTTAATTATCACTTAAAATTTCAGCACATAAAATTTAAAATATTAATCTTTTATCATGTATTGGTAAAGAGTATTGATCTAGGGACTTAATTCGGTAATTATTGAATTTAATTTATGTGACATCATATGATGGGACTCACCACCTTTCACATACTCTCATATAAATTAAATTCGATAATTACCAAATTTGAACCTTAAATCATTATTCATTAGTAAAAGATATATACGCTGGGGGAGTTTTATTTACCAAATTAGGGTTTACAGTGCCTCTTCACTTGGAGTTATTCCATTATTGTTTCCTTTCATTCTTTTGAACTGTTCATGAAAGACTGACTCATCAAACTTGACAAGGAATGATCTAACTTGTCCACTTTCTGTCCTTTGTAGTTTTATATATTTTTGAGTCATAATATCTTAGTTGATCAAAATCTATCACTTAAATTAGGGCAGTATATGTATATATTTTTACTAAATTTTGTGGCCAATAATGATTGAGCTTATTATTATTTTTTTAATTTATCTCATAGTTCGAGAATTGTTTGTAGAAGAAACAAACCTTAAACATGATCTTTTTAAGACACCAAAGTCAATTTTTTATATGTTTGAATTAACCCATTAGGGTTTATTATTATTATTATTACTATTATAATTATAGGTAAAAACGAGTATTTTTTAATGAAATTACATTTTGAGATAATCTTTATGTCATTTGAAAATTTTAATTTCTTCCTAATGTCTTAAATCTCTCTTGTATAGGAAGGAGAAAAAATGGTTAAATTTGGCAATCAGCATTCGCGGACCTATTAGGGAGAATATTATTATTCAAATTGAGGTTAATTTGGGTACGATGGATATATTGAAGTGTGAATTGGGTGGGGTCTAATGCATGTTTAGCCATGCACAACCCTCAGTTATTATTATACTAATACTTTTATTATGTATTATAGTCTATATCAACTTTGACATCTAAAGAAATCAGTAAATCTATTTTATTCCCCAGTTCTTTAACCTCCAAACATCATTTATAATAATATGTCTATATTAAAATTTTAATGTAACCACCTACGGAAAGAAAAAAAAAAAAAAAAAAAAAAAAAAAATCTAATGCAATATTTAGGTTCAGTTTGTTTCGATGTGAAATAATTTTTTTTATTTTTTTATTTTGTTTTACGTAAAATATATTTAATTTTTCTTTTTTTTATATTTGCCAAATGTTTAGGTTGAGTTTGAGGTCGAGTCTATCAGACGAAGCGTGTAAAATAACTTATCAAAAATTAATAAATAAATTATTTTAATTAAATTTTAATATTTTTTCTTTCGTAAATATTTTATGACAATCAAACACTAAAAATATAAAAATAAATTTTACATTGTCTATGGGATGATTACTTGCGATATGTATAAATTATAGTCAAGCAATTTTGGATGTGAAGAAGAGTGTGTTTTTCATTCTTAATTATTTGTTTTGCATACCTTCCGTTTACAATTTTTTAAAATGTGTTTACATAATTAAGTAGTAAAATAATTTCAAATAGAGGTTAATTTGAGTACGGTGGATATATTGAAGTGTGAATGGGGTCTAATGTTCGGCCATGCACAACCCTCAGTTATTATTATACTAATACTTTATTATAATACTATATCAACTTCCACATCTAAAACTTGAAACTAATAATTCAAAAGTATATCATTCTTACATAGGACGTACCCTAAATTTCATTTTATAAATTAAAATATGTGTGCATATACACACACCATCATATCTATCTCTTCCCGAGTTGCACAATTACATAGGTATAATATAGACAACTAATTCATTCCTTGCGCCGTCAAGGTCCTCTGGCTTTAGAGTTTCTCGTCTCGTGCGAGTTTGGGTGTTTTGCTGTTGTCTGTTTGTGACCTCGTGCGTTTGTTGTTGCTTGTCCGATTGTGTGTTGGGTCTGTTCCGCCGTTGTTCCAGGGTGGTTGTCTGCGTTTGGGCTGCCGGTGAGGCGATCCTTGTGTTGATTCCCGGTGTTGGATTTGGGGTTGTTGTTTGTTTGTGTTTTGGTAGCCGAATGGTATGGGTGATGTGGTGTTGATGGTCGGTTGGTTTCGGGTGTTGGGCGGTGTTGCGACTTTGGTTCTCCAGTGGCTTACGTTGTGATACCCCTCGGATCCGAGACACGGGTTGATCAGGCTCAGGCCCAAACCCGAGGGAACATCAAACAATTAAAGTATTTTAAAGCGAACACAGATGACAAAATGAAATAATAAAGATGGAATAAAACTGAAAGAAACATTAATTATAAAATCCTCCATGTATAACTGAAAATTGAAACTCCAATCCTCCAAAACTTCAAGGTTACAACTCGGGAATCCACTGATGGACCCCTAACCAAAAGTTCAACTGAAACTGAAAACTGAAAATAGATAATGCTAGAAATATCGAGAGAAGTCCTACGTAATCAGATGAAGGTGAGACTGTCCTCGACAAGCACGATCAAGCTCTAAGGCTGGAACCGTCCTGTACCTGAAAAGAATAATGAAGGAGTGGGTCAGACCCACGAGCAAGTTCTAATCTAATTACAATCCATACAGTGACCCGATACGCAGATACATCGTAGACACCTCACAATATCTATCTAGCCCATACGCATAAATATATCCATACTAAGGGACATTCACCAGTCTATAATAGGGGTCTCAACCTGAATAGAAGGCAACATGCGAATACGCACCCAAAGGTGGGCATGAGTACCTAGACCTAACAGGGTACACCTCAACCTATTATAACCAGCTACGCATCCACTGCATATACGCACCCTAACCAACGAGTCTGAGACTCAAGCTCAACTCGTGGTACCATAACCATATATATAAAGTCCGTCCAAATCCAGGGTATGCAGTTCAACCATTTATTAAACTGTCATACAATAAACCAACTAGTTAGTCATTCAACTTATTCAGTTGATATGACTTAACTACCATCCGTTAATCCAGGAAGTCATCCAACTTGTTTACAGCTGATCTGACTTAGTCACAATTAGGATTCGATATCTTTCAATCCATTCCATTAATCCATTAGGTTAGGTTTATGCGTTTTGAGCTAAACCGTCCCTAGTATGTCACCGTCCCATACCGGTACATACCATCCTCCATATCCATGTAAATTACAACATATATAACAGTTCAATAATTTACAGACCAAAAACTACCATCCAAACAATTGCAGAAAAATATTTAAAACTTCAGCAATTTAAATCCAAGCATTTAACCATATAGTTGCAGGAGACGATTTAACAAATCAACAACTAACATCCAGAGCATGCATAGACCAAATTTAATATGTCAGGGACTCCATCATGCATGTGAATAGGTTAAATAATCCTATTATTAACCAATAAATTGCTAAAACAATTCAGAAGATTGTTTAAATATTTCAGCAGTTTAAATCCAAGCATTAACCATATAGTTGCAGTAAACAATTTAATAATTCAGCAACTAGCCTCCTAAGCATGCATAGATCAAAATTAATAATTAAATGACCTTATCATGCACTTGAATGCATTCTAAAACAAGTTTTATAAACACATTATGTTCCATCAAATTGCTGAATTTTAATTCAACAATTAATTCAACTTCCATTTGTTAAGTGCCTTAATTTTTACACTGTTCCGACAACTTAGAATTAAACTTTACTCAATTTAGGGTCTTAATAACACTCAAAATTCATTCCTTGATCCCTCTGTAAAGTTCCAAATTCATTCAAAC